AAGAAAGCCAAATAAATATTTGATAAAATTCTTAATTTAATCTTTTCTTTTTTATTTAGAAAATTATTTAGTTTATTTACATGTGTTATTATTGGGGTGACACGGTGGCTCAGTGACACTGTAACCTCACAGCTAGAAGGTCGCAGGTTTGAGTCCTGCGACTATGCCAGTTGGCATTTCTGTGTGGATATTTCCCCCATGTTCGCACGAGTTTCCTCCGGGTGCTCCGGTTTCCCCTACAGTTCAAAGAAATGCGCTATAGGTGAATTGGGTAAAAAAAATTAGCCATGGTGCATAAGTGCATGTGTGATGCAAGAGTAAATAGGCCAGTACCGGGTTGTGAATGGAAAGGTTTCCTCTGCGTAACACATATGCCGGAATAGTTGGCAGTTCATTCAGTTTTGGCAACATCTGAAATAGAGACTAACCTGAAGGGGAAATGAACGAATGAATGAATGAAAGAATGAATGAATGAATGAATGAATGAATGAAATAAAGAATGAATGAATGAATGAATGAATGAATGAATGAATGAAATAAAGAATGAATGAATGAATGAATGAAATAAAGAATGAATGAATGAATGAATGAATGAATGAATGAATGAATGAATAACATTTTATTATTCCCAGCTGGTAGCAGAATCAATTACAGATCTATTTGAGTTGTGTTTTACTGAGATTCTTGAGGAGTAAAAATGGCATAATCCATTACATCTTGTCCTTTTCCCCAGGGATCCATGGTCGAGAAAGTAATTTTTTTTACACAGTCACCTTGAACATAGCAATTTCCTTCTACTGAACATTTTCTGCACTAATGAGAAAAGAAAATACCACAATCTGCACAAGAAAAAAAAGAAAAGGAAAGATTTAAAGCTTTTACCTGTTTACATTAAGCCTATAGCATTACTACAATCCTTTGCATGTATTTTTTTAATATATTTAATCATTTCATGCATCAAAAACCCTACCAGTCTGTAAATAAATTTTTCCTGATTAGTTAGATTAAAAAAACAACATGATTAAACAGATGTTTCAATATTCATTCATGTGTAGCTTGCACCCCTAATTTAAAATAATACTTGTCAAATTAATTGAATTGAATTACTGTAGATATAAAAGCAATTAAAGTAAATAATTATAATAATAGATTAAATATTGTGTCACATCCCTAATTACAAAAAAAAATGAATTTTAAAATAAATAAACAATAGCTTCATTTTAATTTGTAAATGAGAAATATATAAACAAGTAATAATGAATACAGACAAGCTTGTGTCTGGGCTGTATTTTTTTGTTGGGAAGGGGGGGGGGGGTTACCAGACACAAAACATTGCAATAAAACCACATCTTACACAAATAGTTAAAGTAAAAGAATAAGAATCAAGTAAGAATCAAGCATTCTGTCTAGCAGGACACAGGTACATTTCACACACACACACACACACACACACACACACACACACACACACACACACACACACACACACGTTCATGTGTAACTTGTTACTCATCACACATTTACAGTATTAAAATTCATGAGGCCAGCTTTGTGGAAACTCAGAGCAGCTGTTTCAACACATTTTCTTCTTTTCTCTCTTACTTTTTTTTTTTGTTCTTGAAATGCAGCCAGACATTTCAGCTTTGTGAACATTGCACAGGTTCAAAGGTTGGTGCGAGGAGGATGGAAAAACATGTTAATGTTTGCTTCTGTCCTTAAAAAAGTAATCCTTTTTTGTAAAATCAAATCTATATGATGATCCAACACACTGTGAGTCTAATGTACGTAGGTTTAAGTATTAGTTACTAATAAAAAGTATTCTTAGAACCCGATTGATGGTTCACGGATTTGTTTGTGAATGTCTGTGTGACCGCGGATGAAGAAACAAATCAAAATAGATGTACAATTACAGTGACATTACCAGGAAAGTACGATTGAAAGCAGGTCGTGATGATAAACAAAAGCTGGCTTTTGAAATGTTAAAGTCATTTTTGTGGCTCTAGCTTGAACACTGAAAGAGCAGCTGCATGAGTCATGAAAAGCAGAAATGAGAGCTAATGTACAAACAATGCGCATGGCATGCAAAACAAAAAAGTATGACTGTAATCATAGGGGATTTCAACCCACTAACAATCAATGGTAATAAAACGTGTTTGTGTACTTGTTTATGTGGTTTATGAGGACATGTCTTGTTTTCTCATAATTCAAAATGCTTAAAAATCATACTTAATGGGGATTTTCCACTAGTTTAGGGGTAGAGAATAGATTATACAGACCGTATATTAAGCATTTATTATAGTTTAAAATTGCATTATGCCTATAAGGACAGTCCTCATAAACCATATATATGTGGTTGTGTGTGTGGTAACGTGTGTTTTACATGCATAAGATTTGAAAGAAGGGCCCATTTATTTAATCAAAAATATTATAAAAACAGTGATGTCATGAAGTAATATCACATTTTTGAAATATCTCTTTTTCAGTTTGGAAATAATTTGTACAAATAATGTACTTCTGTGGTAACAAAGCATTTGATACTTCAGTATTCAGTGTCAGATCATCAAATCATTCGGATATGTTTGTTTGCTGCTCATTTCCTATAAGTTGAAAACAGTTGTCTTTAATTCTTTTTGATAAATAGAAATGCTTTGAGAAAAGAAACAACAAATGTAGAAGTGCCCACTTTCAATTAAAGGATTAAATAATATATCATAGTTTATTAAAGTATTATTCTCTTTTTTGTGCTTTTGATTTGATGAGCTATTGAGCACCTTTCACAGTACTATCATAAAATACCACAAAATATTTAAAATTATTTAAAATATTATTATTAGAATTATTTATATTATTATTATTTTTTATTATTGTTTATATAATTTTTTTTACAGTGTACTGGCCAATATCTGTCAGCTAATAATCACTGATAACACCCATTCAATCATGTGATAACATTCAAAGCAGTTAGGAGTTGCCAAGTGTTAGTGGTGATATGTTCACAGTATGTGGCCATCAGACATAAACAATTAAATCATAATGACAGGCTCCTCTTAAAACTTACTTGATTTATATTTCTTTTGTGTTTTGTTACTGTGTGTTTACAGTAGTAACTATGAATAGATGTTAATGATTTTTATACAGTCAGGTCAAGGTTGGTTTAATGGTCTGTTGGCAGTTCTTAAAAACTGAAAATGCATTTTTGTGAGAATCATCATCAAACCTAATCCAGAGTTCACATGCATCTTTATTGCAATTATGTTTTAACTTTATTTTTTTCATGTGAATATTGTTTTAAACTATGTATAGCTGTATGTGTGTGGATGTGATATCAAGACACATATTTGTTTAATTACATTGGTATGACACAAATATTACAAGGAGAAGGTAACTTTTAAGGGCATTCCCCATGTCCCCATTTTTCAAAAGGCTTATAACTCATACAGAATGTGTTTTATTTCTTTCAGTAGGTAAAAATGCACAGAGATTCATGTGAGAGTTTAGTTTAAGAATAAGGTTGGGGTAGCATGACAGAAAAAAAAAAATTTATACAAACGCAATCTCACAGCAATTCTGAACTTTTTTATTTAGTGGGTAATTCGTACAATTTAGTATGATTTGCTCATCACCCAATGACGGTGGGGTTAGGTGCCACATCTCCTTTTTAAAATCGTACATTTTCATACAATTGAACTCGTACGAATTTGTACGAATTAGCCACTAAACTTGCAAACCGTAAAATACTTACGTTTCCTTGTGAGAACAGGCTGGCTATTTACACAGTATAAATAGAATGAAAACCTATCGAATGTCCCCACAAATCACAAAACAAATGTGTGTGAGTGTGAAAGAGTAATGAAAAGCTTTTTTCAAACATAAAAACAAGAAGTGCAAAGCAATTTTACACTACACTGTGAAAAATGGCAGTGATTTCTACGGTAAAAAACTGTAAAACTGCTACAGTACAAATCCGTTTACTGGTTAATGGTATGTTTCCTTAATATATACGGGGAATAACTTGACTTTAAAAATTGACTATTGTAAATTGACTTTCCTAGAATTCCCTGCATGGCACATGAATTTTTATGCATTTTGTTTACATTAATATGGATCTTTTTAGTTGTTTCCCCATCAGTTATGTACATTAGAGATTTACGTTACATCTAATGTTGATAAACAATGTTTATTTCATGTCTTTAATTTTATGCGTGTTACCACACTGGTGTTTTGTAGCTGTGTGGATGACACTGAGCACCTTCTATATGCTGATACTCTTTTCTGCTTGTGGGAGAAGTTGATTGTGATGAGCATTGGCTCATTATGTAACTTTCTCATCGCCACCTGCATGTGGGTGTGCTAACGTGTCTAACTGTGTAACAAAAGATGTGTAGATGTTGGTCATTCCAAATACAGACATATTACCTCTATAAATTAATAAAATACGGTAGTTTACTGTAAAAATTAGAAATTACTTTTACGGTTTGTACTGTGTTTTTAACGGTAAAGTACTGGTAACCACAGCTGCTGTTTTTTTTACCGTAAATTTTACGGATTCATTTTTTACAGTGTATAATTGTATTACAATTTTACAATTTGACCATGATTTCCAGCAGACACCCTCTAAAATGTCATTCAGTTTAACATTTTTACACACCCCTAACATTTTCTCACTATATCCACAACTTATCATTACTCTAATGTACTTTTACATCCCATACATCCTGTCATTAATCAACTCAAACTGTATCTTGAAAACAACTGATTGATCTCAAGAAACAATCAATCGTCCTACAATGCAACTTTCTGCCAGGACTGCAAACATCCTCCTCCCATCCTGTGGATTAAATCAAAGCGTCATTGTCTTCACCTCGGTTAATCGGTAAGCCTTCAAAGGTGCTGAATTTGGACCTGGGGAACGAACAGCTGTAGAAGGGCCCCTCGCAGTCTATGAAGCAACACACGGGCCCCTGACAGTGACTTGGAGGATCAGCGCTGAGAAGAAGATCATGGACGTCTCCAGTCCTGGAACTGACAATTTGTCAATGGAGCCCAGCGCCAAGCTGTTTTGCTGTGGTTTCATGAGGCGTTGCATCCCTCTGGTGTATCGAGAGGAGCTGTACCACATCCTGCGCATGACGGGACCCCTGGTGAGGCTTCAGTCGCATTCACTTCATGATAATATGCTACACTTGTCCTGTGTGAAAACTGAGCGCCACGAGAGAAATGTAGTGGCTTTGTGTGTTTGTGTGTATTTTTTCTACATGCATGTCTGTTTAAATGCAAATTAATCCCGGGTGATTGGATATTTGATTGTTAAATGCTTGCGTAATCTTGCATGATATGCCTTCAGTCTTGCGTGCAACAAAAACCATAGTAAAATATGTCTTTTATGAGATTTTCTAAGTAAATCAGTCAAGGTGCATAATACAAATTTGACTTGTGTGGCTAGTTTTAATGTTATTTTAACTTAATTTAGTAAGATAATTAAGTTATAGAGATTTTAACCTGACATTAAAATTGACAAAGTCAGTACATCACTTGAACAGTTAACTTGATTCAACTTTTGCTTAATGCAGCAACAAATCTGTCCACTTTTACTGTGTAATTAGTTACAAATGAAATTCCCTTATGTTGGAGTGAGAGGAGAACAAACTTATGCAGGGTTACAGTAGATGGACAGTAGCACACATGGGTTACACAACATTTATTCTTTTAAAACAAAGCGTGAAAAACTATATCAGCAATAAGTTGTCATTTCAAATATGTGATGCTGGACCACAGTCTTATTTTACAAAAATACTTTTTCCCAATAGCCGAAAATGGGCCAAAATTACAGATTTATCTTTTACGCCAAAAACCATTAGGATATTAAATATTGACTGTGTTCTATGTTCTAAAACATTTATTAAATTTCCTTTGATTTTAAATTAAATAAAATTTATCAAACCCATATTTTTGAACTCATTTCTAATAACTGATTTCTTTTATCTTTGCCATGATGACAGTAAATAATATTTTACTAGATATTTTTCAAGACACTTCTATACAGCTTAAAGTGACATTTTAAGGCTTAACTAGGTTAATTAGATGAACTAGGCAGGTTAGGGTAACTACCTTTTCTAGCTTAAAGGGGCTAATAATTTTGACCTTAAAATAGTTAAAAAAAAATTTTTTAAATGCTTTTATTCTAGCTGAAATAAAACAAACAAGACTTTCTCTAGAGGAAAAAGTATTATCAAACTGTGAAAATTTCCTTGCTCTGTTAAACATCATTTGGGAAATATTTAAAAAAGAAAACAAAATAAACAAAGGAGGTTTAATAAATCTGATTTCAACTGTATAAAAATCAGTTTCAAGTAATGACACTTATAAACACTTAGGGAAAAAATTAAGCCAAAGATCAAATATCTTTTGAAAATATTGCTGTAAATTTAACAATAGCAAAAGTACACTTCTGACTGAAAATAATTTTTCATCCGAGATTTTAGTGTATGTAAATATTGAGGCAAATCTGCTATTATTTTAATCCCCAGACTCTTATTTAGCAGTTTGGATAGTTCTTTAAAGCCTTAAATGTCACCCCACATTTTAAGTCCACACTTTTTATTGTGAATTACACAGTATTTAACTGTAAATTCAATAGCATTTTACTGTAGGACAGTTATGCAGTATATTACTGTATTTTAAAGTTGAATTGTGAGAATTCCTGTATATTTTACAGTAAAAAATGCATAAAGTTCTGTAAATATATATACAGCCATTTAAATGGTGATGTAAATGTAGTTACATCATATTTCTTGTAATAGATTTACAGTAGGTTACTGGTAAACTGCTGCCTGTAATAACTGTAAATTCATCAGGAAATTGATAACAATGTAGATAATATACTGTATGCAGCTTCCAGTTATAGTTTGTCAAGTTCAGGTTTAGACACTTTAATTTACTAAAAGATGCTGATAGTTAAGGGGTTAATAGTTCACTAACTAGCAATAGACACTAACTAGTTTGATATTTCAATTATGCGTAAAAATGTATATATTTTTTGCTGCTTGTTCTAACTATTTATTTAAAATTACACTTAATTGTTAAAAGTTCAATCAACTTAATATAGTAAAAACCATTAAATATTTTAATCGTTTTGCAAGATGAAGGCATTTTTTACTATGTATATTATGATGTTTGTGATATCTTTTTTTTTAAATATCACAATGTGTTTCTTCTTTTATTTGACAATAATGTTTTGAACTATATGCTGTATGTGTTGTGATAGTCATCACAAGCAATGAAATTAGTACTGTATATTAATCCATAAAAAAACAACTTTTAAATGTAATAATTTAATTATATTGCAAGATATATGTGTTATATTATTAAATCAGATAACATTAAAAGCTGTCATATACTTATGTCAAAGTTTGTATCCTTTTGAAAATTTCCATTTAATATTTTAGTTACCAATTTGGAAAAGAAAATTTAATAAATTTAGCTTTGCATGTGGATTCAGACAAACTGAGAAAGTCAGAAAGTGTTGTTCCCCACTCTTTAGTCTTTGTTTTTCGTCTGTGTGACTGTGGACTTTAATAACCCTTTTCCGTTTGAGTCCAGCACTTTCATCTTCATTTTGTGCTAAATATTTCTTTGTTTGTGTTCTTAGCTTGTGTGCCGGTTCCTGAATTTCCTCCTTTTCTTTGTGGTGACAATGTTCTGTGGCCGCCTGGGGAACACTGTGCTGGCCGGTTACGCCATGGCCTCAGCTGTAAGTCTGCTTAGGTCAAAGTTTCTGCTGGACAAAATGTGCACTGACAATGTTTTAATATGTACTTAGCAATCATTTACAAGCTTACAAAGAATGTCTAATGCATTTGTTTTGCAGACAATTAATGTAACAGCTGCAGCGACGGGGTTGGGACTCGCTTTGGCATGTGACACTTTGGTATCACAGGTGCGTTTTATTATACAAACAGCACTCCAACTGACTATTAAAACAATAAACCAAAAGCCCATGTTCTTCCCATGCTCGTTTACCCCACAGTCCAAAGACATGTGGTAAGCTAAATTGTCCGTAGTGTATGTGTGTGAATGAGTGTGTATAGATGTTTACCAGTGATGGGTTGCAGCTGGAGGGGCATCCGCTGCATAAAACATGCTGGATAAGTTGGTGGTTCATTCCGCTGTGACGACACTGATTAATAAAAGCACTAAGCCGAAAAAAATGAATGAATGACATAAATATGCTTTTATTTAATAAACATTTACTATGCTTTCTATGTTTATAAAAACCCTTCCGTGATATCTTTGACTCATATCATGTACATATACTGAAAACATGTGATGTGGAAAACAAATTCCACTGATTAATTGCTAGTAAATTTCATAAATAGTTGCACATTAATGCACATGACACATTTTTGTATGTGTTTGCTTGTGAAAAGCAGACAAATACAGTCAAAACAGTCAAAATAGTTTTAATTGCAACTTTTAATTAAAATTATAAAAACTGTTTTTTTTTTATTTATATACAGATCAATCCTTGATGTATTAAGTTTTTAATGCAATCATATATTTAAAATATAATAAACATTGTTTTAAAAATATAATAAAATAATAATACAATTAAAAGACCACTTAAAAATATCTGTGGATGTTATAGATGCAAATTAGTGTTTAATTTTTTTTTATTTTTAACTGCTGAAAATCAAATTTTCAAATAATATTTTTATTTAGACTATTTATTTGCAACAAAATAATGACAAATCAACGTAAAAAAATATGCCTTAAATATTGGACAAAAATGTGTATGTGTGTGTGTGTGTGTGTGTGTGTGTGTGTGTGTGTGTGTGTGTGTGTGTGTGTGTGTGTGTGTGTGTGTGTGTGTGTGTGTGTGTGTGTGTGTGTTTGTGTGTGTGTGTGTATGTGTGTGTGTGTGTGTGTATATATATATATATATATATATATATATATATATATATATATATATATATATATATATATATATTATTTTTTTTTATAAATAAAATAAAATAAAAATACATCACAAATTCAGAAAACCAAAACCAACTTTGCAACTCTTCTTTTTAATTCTTTTTAATTAAGTCTTTTTAATTTGAAGCTCTTTACCAAATTAGATACATACAAAATATTTACAAAACTATGTCTTTATTATTATTATTCATCTATTAATTTTTTTTTGTTATTGCAAAAATGTATAGTAATATAGTCATTTTGGTATAAGTTGATTTTGGCAAGTGTCACACCTTGGATATTTCCCTCAGACATTCGGGAGCAAGAATCTTCTCCGTGTTGGGATCATCCTGCAGAGAGGCATCGTAATTCTGACACTCTTCAGTTTGCCCTGCTGGGCTTTGCTTGTGAACACCCAACCTCTTCTTCTGTATTTGGGACAGGAACCTGAGGTGGCCAGGTGACCCCCACACTCTTTAACACTCTTTAACACAGACACAAACAAACAACTCTCCATAGCCATATTGTTTTTTATACTGTAAAAAAACACTTGTTATGTGGCCCTATTACATTATGACTGTTTAGAATAGTTGATTCTGATAGGTCAATCACGGCATACCACTGTATGTTATTTAAAGATAACAACTGGAACCAAACACACAGGCTCATCCTAGTACTTAGGATATTCTCTTGACCATCAGTGAATACAATCACATCCATATTAATATACTGTACTTGTCTGTCACAGCTGTTTTTGACTCAGCTTGTCACAGCTGAATAATATGTAGGAGAGTGTATGCAGTGCATCAGCTTTGCCTTTTATTTTATTTTTTTAGCTTTGCCTTTAATTAAAGAATTAATAATGCAGCTCAGAACAATGTTTTGTCTCTAATGTTTACGTTTCGTCACAAATAGTCATGTACACTGTTGCCAACTAATTTTCAGAGGAAGTTTCTAAAGACGTTGCTGACAATTTCTTGCTAAAAGTTGCTAAATGAGTTTGTAACGTCCTTTCGTGAAGTTTGGTTTTGTAGTTTGGGCCCCAGAAACGTGTTATAAATAAATTGTTGTATTTTTTGATCATTTAAGTTCATTCGATTGACTATTCAAAAATCAGTGGTTATTATTAATGCACGTATTGGGTAAACTACTCATCCAATGTGTTTTTGCTCATTTTCATTGCTTTGTCACTTTAACTGAAGCAGCGCTGCAAAAATAGACCCAATGCTTAAACTACAAAAGTAAAGTTTTAATATGCATTAGTATGTTTCTACTATGGGTTGGTATGTCATTAGTATGTCCAATGTTAAATCAATTACAGTTTTTTATAACGGCAGTCTATGGGACAGTTGCTAGGGTGCTGTAAGTGGTTGCTAGGTTGTGGCTAGTGAGTTAAAATAATCATCAGTGATTGGCAGATTGGTAGTGTGAGTTACATTAGCCCAACCTTAAGTCTGTTTGACTTTCTGGTGCAAAGTTATGAGGTCACAATGTTTGCTCCAATGTCCAGTGGGACTTTTCCGAAATTTCCGGGTCAGTTTTCCGAAAACAGTTAGTCGGTTAGTTGGAAAAGACTTAAGACTTAACTTAATTCAGCATAGTTGGGAGGTTTGGAGTTAATTTGGTGGTTGTAGCATGAACGGTCTAGGAGGAGATGTGTTCCTAAAATAGTCTAAGAAGAAGAGGAGGAAGAAAAAGACATTTATAGTATAACAGCATGTTGGCATTCTCAAAGCACCATAGTGATGGCTGCTTCTATGTACAGTTTAAAAGCTCTAATTTGTTAACATGGGTATCGAAAAAAACATGTGCTGCTTATGCTCTTCTTCTGCTCTGTTAGTGTGTGCAGTGTCAAAGAGGTGTTTAGCCTGCAGTCACTACTAATCTTTTGATTTGAGTCACTTTTTAAAAGTTGCTAAGTAGTCAAATTAATATTAAATGTTGCTAAATTTGTTGCTAGGTTAATTTTAAAAAGGAAAATTTTATAGCGTCGTACCAAAGTTTTCTATAAAAAAAAAGGCTAAGTTTACCACACTGGTTGTTAATAAAGCCCTTCTGTGATAACAACCGAATGTAGGCCTATTTTATCCCCTACCCCTAAACCCAAACCTCACAGGAAATGGCAAATTTTGAATGTTAAAAGACTGTTAAGATTGTTATATATGATTTCTAAGCGTTTTGAATTACGAGGACACAAGGCATGTCTTTGTAAACCATCTTAATATAGAGCTACTAGGTCATTCCCTTGTCATTATACAATTTTTACACACACACACTGAATACATGTAGACCGATATTGACTGTTGAATGCTTGAACTGAGTATCGATGCATTAGAGCTCACATCTGTCTGTGATTTTTAACTGAAATCTCTCTCTTTCTTAGGATTGCACAGCTTTATGTGGTGGTTTATTTGCCAGCAATTCCAGTAAGGTTCACTAGTGGATGATTATGGGTTGCATTTTCAGCTTACCTTAATTATTTGTATGCATTGCTGTCCATCCTCATGTTGATTGTGTCATGTTTCTATACTACAGGCCATGTTTCTGTATCAGCTGCAGCTGTCATATCTTCAGAACCAGGTACATAAAATATACATTTAAGAAACTGAACAAAGCAAATAAGTGCTTTCAGGTGTTGTATGTGGTTGTTGTAATATTTATGAACCCTCTGTAGGGAGTGATCAAACCTCAGATGTACGCATCTGCTGTGGCCAATGTTGCCAATGTCATCGCGAACTATTTTCTGCTGTACTGGTGGGATTTTGGAGTTTAGTAAGTCGAATATGTTTTCATATTTCTTTCATTCACCTATTTATCTATTTGTTCATTTATACATACTTTTCTTGGTTTTAAATTTCAGCATGATACTTTTTTCTCTTGTGCATTTTTAGTGGATCTGCTGCCGCAAACACCTTTGCTCAGGTTTTTAATTGTTTTGCCCTGTTTTGTTTCATTCGCTGGCAGAAGCTCCATGAGAAAACTTGGGGAGGTGAGTGTTTATGTTGAAAGAATTGCTTTAAAACTGCAAGTTTGCAAAGCTAGTGTCTGTTTAAAATGACTAGTTTAGTCATTCCACTTAATTAAAACTTATAACTTAGTATAGTTTTATAAAACTCATTATATACTCATAACTTGAAACTTATTTGAACTAAAATAAACTACACATTAAAAGAGCTGCTACACTAATAAAGGTTTGCAACACTACTGCTATTTATTGATTTAAAAAAGAGAAGAAGCTTACTGAACTGAAGGCTGTCTGTAATATTTTTCCTGTGATGATTCCTGGGTCATGTCACCCCTGTACAAATCAATCGACAAAAGCTTCTTTATGACTTCCTTTCATAGAGTTTGGGTAAAATACTTGCTCTGTGGCTGATTTCTTACTGCTTTCGTTGAACAGGGTGGTCTTTAGAAGCCCTGCAGGACTGGGGCTCATATATGAAGCTGGCAATCCCCAGCACACTCATGACCTGCTTTGAATGGTGGATTTATGAAGTTGGAGGATTTCTGGCTGGTACATTTTTTGTTATATTACATTATTATTTATAATTTTGAAAATAAAATTAAAATTAAATTAGCAAAATATGTATATTTTTAATATCAGATGTTATCGCTATGTCAGTTATGGCTCTTTTAATGCAAAATGCCAACTCCTTATAACTTATTTTCACTTGCCTCTAAGTTTGTCCACTGATCGAATCCATTTAAATACTTAAAATCACCCCTTCCAGCCTCCTTTTTTATTTTTATTTACAGTCCATTTTTATTTACTATTGTTGTTGTTATTGTTGTTATTATTATTATTATCCTTATTATTATTTTAAGTTATGCTATTTATCATTATTTTATTATTCATACATTTTATTATTGTTAAACTGTTCTGTCTTGTTATAAAAGATTAAAGGGAAAAAGTGGAAAGTCTTTTATGTCTGTCATATCAAGCCCTTATGCTCTTTTTACTCAATAAAAAAGTTATGCATAAATTATTTTATAAAAGCCATATATTTATTTCCCCATGTTCTTAAAGCATTAAAATTATTTTATTATTTTCAAAAGTTTAAATAAAAATGTATATAAAAAACTGTAAACGTTTAAAGAAAACAAATAAAACACAATTGAAACACAATGATGTATGTATATATATATATATATATATATATGTATATATATATATATATATATATATATATATATACATATATACATGTGTGTATGTGTGAGTATATGTGTGTGTGTGTGTGTGTGTGTGTGTGTATATATATATATATATATATATATATATATATATATATATATATATATATATATATAAACTGGTTCCCTTAAAGTTAAGCATACTGTAACTTAGGTTTAACGTAGGTTAACTCAATTTTATAATTATGCAATGTTTTTTTGCTTAATTATTTTAAGGCCATTGGTTAACTCATTTTTTAAAATGAAGTCAACTCACTGCTTTAAATCACTATTTAAAGTGATTAGGTAGTTTTTAGGCATTTTTACAGTGTATGTTTAACTTGTCAGACATCTATTATTATGATTAAAACGGGAAAAAAAATAGGTTAATAATAGGAATCTTAGTCTATTGAATGTTCAATCAATCCAGTCCATCTTGAAAAAAATTGATTGCAGCAATACACTAGTTTTTTTTTTTTTTATTAACATTTATTAGTTAAAATATTATCAAAACTATTCAGGTGTTATGAATCAATTTTAATGACAAGAGTTTGAATAAGTGACGATTACCATATTGGTAAATATTGGAATCAGCCAATAATTGATTAAATTGTTTTTGTATCCCAGTGTGCATTTCAATTTGAGTACATTTAACCAATGAGACTTACATTGCATTTCTCCTCATGCATTCAGGAATGCTGAGTGAGGTGGACCTCGCTGCTCAACATGTGGTTATAATGCTGGCATACATCAACTACATGGTGTGTCTGGGTAGTCAGTATACAAATTCACGCATATTCTGGTCATAAAGGACTGTTCTTGATCACTTCCTTTTTGAAATTCCAGATCCCATTAGGAATGCAAGGTGCAGCGTGTGTTCGTGTAGGAAACGCTCTCGGCGCAGGAGAAACAGCTGCAGCAATCCTCACCAGCAAGGTGTCTCTTATCAGTGCAGGTGAAAACACTCGTTTCATCGTGAATATCAGTTATTCAGGAGCTCATTATGACACAGAGAGAGTCGTACGCAGCAGGAGTTGATATTTTGTCAAACACGTTAATTTTTGTTTTCCAGCTGTTATAGCAATCATTCAGGGTTTTGTTCTGGGCTCCACAAAAACGGTCATCGGCTACATATTTACTTCGGATGAGTAAGCCTTTTATGTTCAAACACGTACAACAACAACAAAAAAGTTTGTTGGTATAAGTACACTTTAACAAATCTGTGAACACTCAACTCTTCGGAATTAAGATTGAATAGAAGCCATGTAAACAACAGCTGCGTTTCAGATTTGCTTTCTGTGACATTTGTGATATTTAGGTCCATAACAGAGCTCGTGTCTCAGCTACTGAACATCTACTGCCCTCTTCAGTTCTTTAATGGAATATTGGTGAGTTCTGCATAAACTATTCTCTTTTTTCCAGAATTTTACCAGTGGCAATGTACAGTGCTCAGCATAAGCGAGTACATCACTCACAGATCACCCTTTTACACTAAGATTTTCTACATGATGCAGTCGGGAAGACTGTAGCAGTAGTCTTAAGTAAGAGAGACAAGAGTTAGTTGTTGCTTCACGGTCCTCTTTGTTTTAATTTATTACACACACATGTTTGCATGTTAGAGTCAATAAGACACTTTGGATCATAAAATGATTCATAAACATGTTGGATATAGTACGCACTGATACATCAACTCACATCAGGATAAATAAATAAACAAACAAATAACATTATGAAACCTTAAACATTTGTACAGAAATTCTACAATCTTTATCACAAACTGGCTGAATTAATATTACTGTGTCAGAAAGACAACTCAGTTAAGTATTTACAGTAAGTGATATACACAAAACACTCTAAATCAGGGATGTCAAACTCAATTCCTGGAGGGCCGAAGCCCTGCACAGTTTAGTTCCAACCCGGCTCCAACACACTTACCTGTAGGTTTCAAACAAGCCTGAAGGACTCAATTAGTTTGATCAGGTGTGTTTAAATAGGGTTGAAACTAAACTGTGCAGAGCTGCTGCAAAATAATCAGTTAAAACTACGTGTTTATACATTGAAGCATGTGAATTAAAGTTTTATATGACATTTAGTTAATTTAACTAACCTTATAATAAGTGAGAGAGACAAGAGTTAGCTAGTTGCTTCACGGTTCTCTTTGTTGTCTGAGGATGCACTGCAGTCATCATGTTAGCTCAATTTTCTCAACTGCCACTCAGAATTCAGAAAATGCAGAATACATGCATGTATAGAAGTAAACAAATAAAAGTGAAATATATATAAATAATTTACTTTGTGACCCAAACTATATGTGGGATGGTCACATTTACAATAATATAAATATGCATAAACTTAGCCAAAATGCAACTTATGTAAAAAACAAAACTGAAGATCACAATCCAAAAAATCTGTACACACAAATGAATATTTTAGGCAAAAATATGAAATAAATGTTTAATAAACAGGAAAAAATCAAAAGAAATATATAAAATTTTGTTAAAAACTTTTGTAGTTTGTAATTTTATTTTATTTTTAGTTTTGCAATAACTTGTTTAAAGTAAAATGTTTTATCTTTCTATTATTAAAGATGTTCGGTGATCAAACTCTTATTTTAATGAATATAAAACAATTTATAAAAGATATAAAAAGTTTAACAAAAAGGATTTTTTAAATGCACCAAAAAGTAGTGGCTATATTTACTGAGAAATGAATAAAATTTTTCATTTGCAAAAGGAGGTCTACTCATTTATGCTGAGCGCTGTATAAGGGGAGGGACTGTTACTATCAACCATTACTGTAACCTTCAGAATAGGATTGTACAAATGTAAGTCCTGCCTTTGAGACAAGTTTTCAGAAATGTTCTAGTGTGATGTTAACATAACTTGGTGTTATTTTAATGTTTTTTTTAACAGCAGTGATATACCATTAACGTCTTTGTTAGTATTTTGATGTAGGATTTATTTTTGCCCTGATTTTTTCTTTTTCTGATTTTTATATTTTTTTCTGATTTTGTTAACAATTGCCATTTTATTAGTTCATATATGAATATAGGCCATCCTTGAAATACAGTTTTCCAAGTGTTGTTTTTTGTGTTGGTTTTTAACACATTTTTCATCATAATAGGCTTGATAACTAATTTGTAATAACCAATTTGTTTTGCCTTTGCCATAATGACAGTAACATTATATTCTTCTGCTTATTTTGCAAGATACTAGTATTCAGCTTAAAGTGTAATTTTAAGGCTTAACTAGGTTAATTAGGTAAACTTGATTTCTTAAGGGGGGTAGTAATATTGACCTTACAATTGTTTTTGTTTTTTTCATTATTTTTTTATTAAAAGCTGCCTTACTAAAGTGAATAAGAAATATAGAATATGTGGCAACTAGCTGAAATATAAAAACTGAGGAAATAGTCAAATATTTTTTAGATGTAGTTCATATATATACAGTTTTTTCTATATACTTATAATCATTTTGTCAAATGCAGTATCTTATATAACTCACCTTGAGTTCCGGTATTATCCTTTGTTTCTCACTGTTTCAGTGTGTTGGCATGGGTGTTCTCCTTGGCACTGGGCAGCAGAAGATAGCAGCTATTGCAAACCTCTTTGGCTACTACTGTATTGGACTCCCATCAAGCATTGTTCTGATGTTCACGGCCGGTTTACAAGTTGCTGGTTCGTACCATTACAAATAAATAAATGACTCCTATCAAAATGAATGGTGTTAAAATGCACCAATGATCAGGGAGCTTTTTAATATATGTGATTTATCCTCCTTTATTGCAGGCTTTTGGCTGGGCCTCCTCATTGCAGTCTTTTTGCTAGCAATTTTCTTCACCGTGGCCATTTTCAAATTAAACTGGAAGAAAATGACAGAAGAGGTAGGTGCATCAGGTCTATTAAAACATTATGTTTCTTCTAATTAAGATGCTTATAGTCATGCAATTAATTCTTGACTTGTATGACTAAAAACCTTTTTTCTGTTTGAAAGGCAATTGCGCGTACAGGAAAGAGTGCAAATGGAGCAGCAAATGGAACAATGACCACTGAGTTTTGTTCAAACCATCGCAACAGCTTCTACCAGGTGGTCCTGAACGCAGAGGTATTTTGTTTCAGTTTTCATTTTAAATAATAAATGCAATTTTTATTTAATTAAACATTATCGTTGTAGGACTAACATACTAAAAACAAACACACAGATAAATCTAACAGACATTTTTCATGAACAAAAATTTTTCATTTGTTGAAATTCATTATGTGGATAAGATCCATCATGTCTGCTAATTTGTACACCTTTAAAGTAGTAGTTCACCAGAAACTGAAATTGTCATTTTCTTTTCATTTTGTTCCAGGGATCACTATATATGACTTTTTTAGTTCTTGTAAATGTATATCAAGGTCATGGTAAAATTTATTGTCTCCTGTAGGAGAATTTTGTTTTAGAAAAAAAGATCCTGCTGTACATAGACACCCAACAAGACAACATATAACATACATACACATTAAAATCTGTGCCTAAAATTCCTCCTGATATAAATACGGTTCCATAATAACAATAATTAAAAGAAAAAAAAATGCAATATGCCCCCACTGCCCTCTGTTATGCCAACCAATGCAGTTATCTTAATCTTTGACTGTCCTACCCTACTTGCTCTTTGATCAATTTAATTGAAACAAAAGAATTATACTATTACACTTGCATAACAGGACCCTGTATCTTCTGCAAGAATTCAGACTCCAAAGACAGCACATTACATATTATAGAGAAATTTTGCCCATTTAATTAAAGGCAACATGGCCCGAATGAAAATTGGTCCATATTTACTATACTATTGGTGAACTTCTTGATGTCAGCCACACTTCTTAGAATGTGATTAGATGAATATGTGAGTACGTGGTGCGCTCTTTCCTCTAAATAACAAAATAAACAACAAAAATGGCAGCAGTGACAAAACAAAATGTAAGAAATCATCTGATCATAGCAATATGGATATGCTTGCACAAATATAGAAATTCTGCACTTCAGTCAAATCACATTTTGTTGATTTATAAAACATTTTGTACAATAAAGTGCTTTAAATCAAGCAGCTGTTCAGCATTAAACATGGAAAAAAAATCCCAATGCTGCTTTTACAAAATATATCAATTTAACCCCTTATAGGGCACACGTAAAAAGTAAAAACTTAAACAAATTACTTTGACTTGTTACAATTATTTTAATTAAGTTTGACAAACGTAATTTATAACAGTTTTCAGTAATAAATTAATTTAGCTATTTTAGGTATAACAAGTTTTAGTAACTTATTTACTAAAAATTATACTTAATAATAATTATATTTATATGATAATACTTAATAATAATAATAATAATAATAATACTTTACTAAAACTAATGATTTGTGGAAAGTACAAGTATTGCTCACTATTATTAGCGAACAATACTTACACTTGCCACAAAACTTATTCATTCATTCATTCATTTTCTTGTCGACTTAGTCCCTTTATTAATCCGGGGTCGCCACAGCGGAATGAACCACCAACTTATCCAGCATAATAAACTTATTATTATTATTATTAATATTATTATTATTATATTAACATGAGAGGGAAATTATATGTGCTGTAATAAAAGTATTTTTACTATTATTACTATTATTATATTTCCAATATTATATTGAATGATTTGTTCTGTATGTATTCTATTTCTGTTTTCTTAAATAAATTACTAAAACGTGTTACACCTAAAAGAAGTAAATACATTTTATACTGAAAAACTGTCATGAATTAAGTTTGTCAATCTTAATTCATTTAATTGTAACAAGTCCAAGTAATTTGTTTAAGATTTCACTTTTTACAGTGCAGTGATTAAAATACTCCTTAAAAAACCCTGGAGTGCTACTGGGGATTATTACAAGACTGTTGAACTTGTTCAACTCAGTTATAATTTAATTGTAATCAATGTCAACGAAGTTTGCCCAAAAAATGGTTACATTTCTTTTTTAAAGCAACTCTTATGTTTTTACTTGAGTCTGACCTCGACAGAGTGAACAAAGAAATAAACCAGAGAGGATTGTATGTAATCACCACAGACCAAATGAAGTTTAAAGGTGTTTATCAGCCAGAATTCGTTCATACACTCAAAACTAATGTTATTTTGCCCCTAATTTGTTCAAAATTATGTATATTTCGTCCACTATAACAAAGTTGCTCTGTACATATAAGTACAATGTTAAAGTATTAATCACAAATGTGTTTGTATTGTTTTTGAGAGGTCAGTGCAAAAACAACACATTAGTTTTAAACGTGCACCTCAAATCGCATACTTATCCACTATTCTACAGCATTTTGTAGTATAAATAGTATTGTTAGGACCTGCCAGTTTTAACCCAAAAATGACTGGTGTGTTAGATGAAGAAGACCCCAAATCAGAGATTCAATCAAAGAATGTTTACTAAAAATTGATTGCAGTTTCATCGGCAGAAGTCAGCTTCAGTCCTCACGCAGAATTCATAGGCCGCTCTGCTTACAATCTCAAATCACCTACAATTATCTAACATAACGTCCTACACATACTGTAGGTGCTTTACCCTGATTGGTTAAAACACAGATAGACAATTTCCAAATAGGTACTCGAAGGTGGGGGTCACATCTTCTTCCAAGATAGGATAGAGACAGCAGACAATGTTGAGACAGCCATTAGGCTATTCAGAGCTGACCTCAGACCTGTAGGAATGATCCACAAAAGAATATAACACAAACACAAAGTACAAAATGTTTTATACTCAAGGCTGTTTTTTGCGCTCTTAGCCATCTTATCAAAACTGGTATAATAAACATAGCAACAAAGACATCTCCTCTTATAACAGAATCATTTACTTTCACACACACTGTAAAAAATGCTGGGGTCCACACAATCGATGAGTTAAGCTTACATAATCGTTTTTTTTACAAATTTAAGTGGATTGAATATAAAACAATTAAGTTGTACCAAATATCCAGCAGCAAAATTTACATCTAGTGACAGCTGCTCAAGTAGCACCAAAATTCTCAGTTCCACGTGAGAAGTTTCAATGACTGACCTCTTGAATGGGCCTAAAGATCCTGAGGAAACAAATAACTTGGCATACAGAAAAAGCAATGACTCATATCATTCAGTTCTAGTCTGAAGAGGTATGACATTAAGGTCATCACATATTATAGGCTGTTGAACACAAATTCTACTTTATTACGTAATAATCATATTACATAGAAAGGATATTTGCCAATCCTGGAAAGGTAATCATCCAGCAGTGGTGGAAAGAGTATACTAAAAAATCATACTCAAGTAAAAGTACCGTTACTTGCCTAAAAATGTAGTGCAAGTAGAGTAAAAGTATCTGTTGTAAATATTACTCAAAGTATAAGTAAATAGTACACCTATCAAAATTACTCTAGAGTAGTGTGTAGTGAGTAATACTCTGTAAAAAGCTGATACATTTACATGTAAATTGTGAATGTTTGTAAACGTAACATTCTGTAATGCATTTAGTTATTGCCCAGCAGACACACAACATCATAAGTTAATTAATATTGGGTTTTAATTAATGTCAGGCGAACCAAAATTCAATATTTAGCCATTGTTTAAGGACAAAGTTAATTGATTACCAATAAAGACATCAAATGACGTTGATATTTGGTTGATTTTAGGTTGTGAGAAAGTGACCAAAATCCATTGTTGAGCCAACATCTTAAACTAATGTCATATTTATATTAAATGTCATATAAATTGACATTTATTTTTCAGGTATGGCAACCAAAATCCAACATCTGATAGACGTCATATTGCTAACGTCCACACAATGTCGAGCTGTAACATCATTAGACATTAATATTTGGTTGATTTTAGGCTGCACGTTGGACATTGATTTTGGCCTGAAATTGAGTTTTGACGTCAACACGATTTTCATTTCCAAACAAAATACAACGTCCCCACATCGGGGTGTAAAGTTATGTTGACATCTTGTGCCTGCTGGATGTTTAACCCTTTAACTACCCCACCAAGAAAAAAATGTTTGGATTACTTTTTTAAACTCCTAATGGCCCTAGTTGACACACTCAATGCATTTTTTTCAACGCATCACATAATTTCTAAAATATCAGCCTCTACCAAATGGTAGATATGTTGGTTTATGGTAAAAGTACTGGGCTTAATAAATAAACCAAGAAAAATCTGAAAATATAAAGTCTAAGACCAATTTATTTAAAAAAAATATTCAAAATAAAACATTTTTGAATATTAAATCACCATTTTTTTATTGAAGTAAAATATTTCAGATTTCCAGTTAACATGTTTTCTAGTTTTTTTTTTTTTTTTTTTTTTTTTACAATAAAAACTATATCAAGTTTAGGAGTGAAACAGGATAATGTTTGTTTGATTTTTCTTTTGTAAACCAACAATGCTTAGTGTGTAAGCAATTATTTAAAACAGTCATTCTTTAAATGACTTTAACAGTGATTATTTAAAACAGTAAAAACATTGTCAACCATTTGATAGAGAGGCAATCAAAGGGTTAAGGCCATTTCTGTCATCATACAGTAAACATCTGTCATCTTTTCATCAGTGACATGTTTCTAAACAGTCTCTGGGTCAATGCATGTAAAGATTTTAGACATCTTGGACACTTTTAATGCCTCTTAACAGTTTGCTGCAATTATAAATTGCCCATGTCTTGATGTAGTTCATTATGATGTGATTTACTTTATATATGCGAGTTGATTGGACAGGAATTACAGGACTGTTTTTCTAATCCTCATAGACATAGTAGTGACTGCAGGTTGAAGCAAAGTAGTGGAGTAAAAGTGCTGATACAGCACTAAAAATGTACTCAAGGGAAAGTAAAAATACACATTTTCATTTTTTAAAACTACTTAGTAAATTACAATTTCAGAAAAAACATTACTTAATTACAGTAATTTGAGTATTTGTAATTTGTTACTTTACACTACTGTCATCCGAATAAACCTGTATTTCTACTAGTAAAAGTAGTGCATTTACAGTGAATATTCTAAAAAGAGTAGGTGCACTTTAAATACATAGATTATGCATTTATTCAACTGATAAAAACACACGTTTGTACCGCTTGAATAAGTGCATCTTCTGGGTATTTAAAGTGCACTTATTATTATTATATTCAGTTCACGTTGAATTAAATGTTGAACACTGTCTGCACTCAGTGGTCATAGCTTTGCTTGTGTAGCGGAAGCGGACTAGCGTGGGAGCTTTTGGACACTGATTACTTTATTTTGGATTGTGCAAGCAAAAGTCTCCTACTTAAGTGATTGTGCCACCTCCCAAATAGGGAATGTTGCTCAACAAATGACATACTGTTTTTTAGTTTTGTAATTTATTTCACTAATTTGACAACCATTAAACATCCACTGGGAAACGGTTTGAATTTCTGTTTTGCAAAAAAAGTTTGATTTAAGATGGCATTGAACTTACAGTATACGCTACACGGTTGAGTATATACAGTTGAAGTCCTCCAGAATTATTGCCACCCTGTATATTTTTTTCCCCATTTGGTTTTACAGGGAAAAAAAATATTTCTAAACATAATAGTTTTGATAACTCATTTCTAATAACTGATTTCTTCTATCTTTGCCATGATGACAGTACATAATCTGTAATATTTTAGTAAATAATCATAACATTTTATTAGACAGGGTTCATACACTCCTGGAAAACTCATGAAATTCCGAAAAGGCATTTTTCAGGCCTGGAAATGTTTTGGAAAAACAAATTAACCCAAAATGTTCTGGAAAATTATTTGTGTACTTGAATATATTTGAGATGAACTTGACTTATACTTGACACTGTATTTAATGGGTAAACTTCAAAAAAAATAAAATGGGTAAAAAACAATGTTCAAAAATCAAAAGCAATTTTAGCTTCACGTCTCTTTCACTCGCTTTCAATTCAAGATGCATTTTAAGTGTCGTGTGTCCAGAAAATTGATCTAACTGCAGAGGTACATTGTGGGTGCTTAAACAAGCCAACGTTTATCAAATTTTCATGCAGACATTAGGACACTTTCTAAGCTATTTTACAGATATGAAAATAAACTCTCTACTAGCTGGGCTTCCAGCTAACTCTATCAAGCCTCTTCAACTGCTCCAGAATGCAGCAGCACGAGTGGTCTTCAATGAACCTAAACGAGCACATGTCACTCCGCTGCTACTCCGTTTGCACTGGCTGCCAGTTGCTGCTCGCATCAAATTCAAAGCTCTGATGTTTGCCTACAAAGTGACTTCTGGCCTTGCTCCTTCTTATCTGCTCTCGCTTCTGCAGATCTATGTGCCCTCCAGAAACTTGCGTTCTGTGAATGAACGTCGCCTCGTGGTTCCATCCCAAAGAGGGAAGAAATCACTTTCGCTCACGCTCAATCTTCCCAGTTGGTGGAATGAACTCCCTAACTGCATCAGAACAGCAGAGTCACTCGCTACTTTCAAGAAACGACTAAAAACTCAACTATTTAGTCTCCACTACACTTCCTAATCTATAATTGCCTCTCTGAATATCACACTAACTGTACAAAAAAAAAAAAAAAAAATACTAATACTACTAATACTTCCCTTCTTAGACTTTACAGACCTGAAACTTGCTTATAGCACTTATTCATTGTTGCTCTTGGTTGTGTAAATTGCTTCCTTGTCCTCATTTGTAAGTCGCTTTGGATAAAAGCGTCTGCTAAATGACTAAATGTAAATGTAAACTACATGGATTGTCACATATTTTTTATTATCCTATTAAAATTTGAACATGCATTTTTTTTTCTTATTTACCATGTGTACGTAGACATTACATTAAACACGAAACAAGATCATGAGCGTTTACCTAAAAGTTTTGGAAAAGTCATTGAAAAGTCATGGAATTTTTGTAGTAAAAATGTGTATGAACCCTGATTAGATATTTTTTAAGATAATAGTATTCAGCTTAAAGTGCTATTTAAAAAGCTTAATTAGGTAAATTTAATCCTTTATTCTAGCCAAAATAAAACAGATAAGACGTTCTCCAGGAGAAAAAAAATATAGGAAACACTGAAAAATTCCTTTCTTCGTTAAACATCATTTGGGAAATAAAATCCAAAGTAAAATTTAATTCAATTTTGACTTCAGCTGTATGTGCTTAACTGTGTGTGAATAGTGTCATTTGGGATGCAATATATAACATTATAGGTATTTGCTGCAAAAGTATTGCCAACTTCAGTTTTACTAAATAAGTGATTTTAAAATGTGATTTTAAAAAGTTTGAGGGTGACGCGGTGGCGCAGTGGGTAGCGCTGTCACCTTACAGCAACAAGGTAGCTGGTTCGAGCCTCAGCTGGGTTATTTGGCATTTCTGTTTGGAGTTTGCATGTTCTCCCTGTGTTCGTGTGAGTTTCCTCCAGATGCTCCGGTTTCCCCCACAGTCCAAAAACATGAGACACAGGTGAATTGGGTAAGCTAAAGTGTTCGTTGTGTATGTGTAAAAAAATGTGCTGGATAAGTTGGCGGTTCATTACGCTGTGGCAACCCCAGATAAATAAAGCGACTAAGCTGAAAAGAAAACGAATAAAAAAGTATGCCATGTGTATTCGCCATGTTATGTGTGTAAAAGCACAATCAATAAATTCTACAGTACGTCTAATCCCTGGGAAACACTTATAATGGTGAAATTGTGTCTTTCAGAACGGAAATGGATACATGGTTGTGAGCTCTCAGGATCAGGACGAGAGGCTCAACAGTACTGCGGTACCCGAGGAGCCAAACGTGACTGGCGTGGAGGAAAAGCCTCCAGTTCTGCTGTCCACCACTCAGCTGGTTCTCAGGAGGGGTTTGACCACCGTCGCCGCTCTCCTCATCCTCGCCGTAGGAATAATCATCCATCTCACTGTGCCCTTACCACAAGTATCTTACGGTGCTGGTGCAAACTATACTGTGGACTCCAACTTTACCACAGCCAATCCCATCTATTCAACGAGTTTCATTTGAAATCAAGACTTCAGACAGATTCACTGTGAACTTTTTATATCTGTATATGCTGCGTGAGACCAAAAAACAAGTCTTTTAACGGCAATCCCAGGCTGTAGATTGTGACCTAAACAGATGATAATATTTTTATTTTGAGCACATTTGCTTTGTCCACAGCATTAGGCTGGAGGAGTATGAAAATCAACCAGCTTAGCAGAAAAAAAGGTCATATAATCTCTTTGGTTGACATTTCTAGTCAGATGACTGCTGGAGAAATACTGCCAAAAAGAAGATATTCTACAAAGCCACTGTCAAGATTGAGAAAGATATGTTATTAAGCACGATGGAGATGTAGAAATTGAAGAAGTTGCATGTGAAAAAAGATTTCTCTGAATTATATTTTTCTCTTTTTAGAATGCTGCTGACGCTGCAAAAATCGCAAGAAAACTTTCACACACACACACACTCAGAAATAAAGGTACAAGATCTGTCACTGGGGTGGTAACTTTTCAAAAAGTACACTTTTGTACCATACAGATAAACATTAGTACCTTTAGGGTCCACTTTCATTCTTTTGATATTCACTTTTGTACCTTTAAGGTTCACTTTTGTACCTTTAAAGTACTATGAGGTACACATTTGTATATTTTTAGGTATTAATATGTACCTTTAGGGACCTGTTAGGAACAAAAATGTTTCTTTTGTAAAGGTACCGCCCCAGTGACAGATTTTGTACCTTTTTTTCTAAGAGTGCAGAACATCTTTTTACATTCTGCTTGTTTTCTGTGTAAACAGTCAATACATAAAAGCATATGGTGTTGGTCACACTTTATTTTGATGGTCTGTTTGTTGAATTTTAGTTACATTGCATCTACATGCCAAATAATTCTCATTAGATTATAAGTAGACTGTTAGGGTTGGGGTTACTGTAAGTTGACATGTACTTCCAAAGTTTCCTATAGTCAGAAGGTCCGTTGAATGAGCAGTATCAACAGATATTAAGCAGACAATCTACTAATACTCAAATGGACCATCAAAACAAAGGGTTACGCTTAAGTTTAACAAAAAAAGACTCCTAATAAACCGTACTACTATATGAGAAATTTCCATGTTGGGTTTTGCGTGAGATGTGGAATAAAAAAAGCAAGCTTTCAAGATGTTTTTAAACATCTTTTAACATGAGTGTCGATTCATTTAAATATTTTCAGCAAATTTTAAGACTTAAAAAGTAGGTTTTGCACAAGCTTTACACAAGCTGGAAATTCAGTGCAATGACAAAAAAACAAAAATGTGTTGTGTGTGAATGCCCTCTGTCATGCAATTTCATATGCGCAATAACACTGCATATTTTGCTGTTCAATAGAAAAAGTGTGTACAATGGATGCACCAAAGTAATCATTTTAAATCCTTTTGTACTGTGCATACAGCAATGAAACAGGCACCCATTTATTATCTATGATTCATCAAATTGAAATACACTAACTGCATAAAATTATAATATTTATAATATTATAATTATAATATTTATGATAATATTAACTATAATAAAATATATGATATTAATGAAAAATATATTAAATATTTTTCAAATATTTGCTTGTGACATTTCACGCTACTTGCCTTTGGTGTAGACACCGTGTAAGGCAAAACACATGCAACCTTTTGTGAGACGGTTCACATATGAGATTTTAAAGGTTACAGTAAATGTTCATCAACCATCAAGAGACATAATGTGATCTCTTTATTTGATGAAGGTCCCTGGCTGGACATCTTTTTAGGCTTTTTTTCTTTAGCTTGTTTTTATTGACACATATACAGTTGAAGTCAGATTTACTAGCCCCCCTTTAATTTTTCCTTTTAAAATATTTTCATTTCCAAATGATGTTTAACAGATTAAGGCCATTTTCACAGTATGTCTGATAATATTATTTCTTCTGGAGAAAGTCTTATTTGTTTTATTTCGGCTAGAAAAAAAGCCGTTTTTAATAGTTTAAAAACCATTTTAAGAGCAAAATTATTAGCCCCTTTAAGCTTTATTTGTTTTCCGTAGTCTACAGAACAAACCATTGTTATACAATAAATTGCCTATTTACCCTAACCTGCCTAGGTAACCTAACTGCCCTAGTTACGCCTTTAAATGTCACTTTAAGCTGTATAGAAGTGTCTTAAAATGTCAAGTAAAATATTATGTACTGTCATTATGGCAAAGATAAAATAAATCAGTTATTAGAAATAAGTTATTAAAACTATCATGGTTAGAAATGTGTTGAAAAAAAATCTTCTCTCCATTAAACAGACATTGGTGGAAAATAAATAAATAGGGGCGCTAATAATTATGACTTCAACTGTATATTAAATATATTTAATAAGGTAAAATTTTCATTGTGTTTGGTGCATGAACAGAACGCACCATACAGTGTATATTAACTTGTCCATTTAAACTACTAACACTGCCTTACTAATATATACATATATTAATATATTTCCTGGTATTGTTTGCTGCTAACATTTTATATGTAAATGTTTGATGTTCCCACATATGCCATTAGGGTTAACTAATTTACTGGGTTAAACATCTGATTTGACTGATTTGAGTGTCTTTTTCAGCTCTAAGGAGCAAAGAATGGCTTTAGTTGTTGTTGTTTCACTAGAGCTGAGAAAGTCAGTGACATGATTTAAACTGATGACGAATATAAAAAAATGCACATGCTTTTTATGCCCTCTGGAAGTCTGTACTGCTTAAGCACACCCCATCCTCAGAACTGTTTACTGTAAAAAAGATAATCTATAATTAGATTTTGTTCCTACTTTAAAACAGCTGCAAAGATTGCACATAGAGCAGCTTATCACAGATTAAATCCCAGAGTCAATAAATCACTATTCCATTATATTCAGTGTGTTTTGGGCTTATTTTTCTGCATCAGCTACATCAAGAGCCAGGTCACTTGAGGACGAATGAATTTAAGATTCTGAGCAGCAGTTTTTCCCAAATGGCAGAGTTGAAATCTAAGTAAATATTGGCAATCGTCTTTCTTATGTAAACTATTTGGATCTTGACTGGTGTGCGGATGTTTTTCTCTGTACATGCTTTTCTCTGAATTACATGTACTGTATGCACATTTGACTTGATCTTAGAACAGATACAGAATAGTTTGGTCACACTTTATTTTGATGGTCCATTTGTTGAATGTTAGCTACATTGCATCTCTGTCAACTAATTCTCATTAGATTAGAAGTAGACTGTTAGGTTGGGGTTAGGGTTAGTGTCATTGACATGTACTTGCAAAGTTTCCTATAGTCAGTTGACACTGACAGTCTGTTGAAGGAGCAGTATCAACAGATATTAAGCAGACAGTCTTCTAATACTCAAATGGACCATCAAAACAAAGTGTTGCCGATAGTTTCGATAAATGATCTGGCCGCAGATTTTGTCCACTGAAAATGTACTTTTCATAGTGGTGTGCTATTGGGTCATCTCATTTCAGTGACTGGTTATTATCCCACCCTCTCATCAGGTCACATGTCATCATATACAAAAAGTGTAGTGTGACAAGAAAGGGAGGCTATTTTAAATGATGTGGGCAAAAATACAAAGGAAAAAAAAAATTCATATATTCATTAATAATAAAACTGCAGTGTTTCTTAAAGGGATTGTTTACCCAAAAATGAATATTTACTCACTATCTTAGGGGAGTTCCTAACTTTTATGTGTTTCTTCCTTCTGTTGAACAGAAAAGAAAATATTTGGAAGAAAGCTCAACCTGTAACAATTGACTTCTTTAGTAGGAAAAACAAGTGTGGAAGTCAGCTTTCCTCAAAATATTGTTTTCTGTTCGACAGAAGAAAGTGGAATAGATATTTGAAGAAGGGTGAATAAATGATGCCACGACCGGGTTTTTGTTAAGATTTGTTGTTTTTAGACTAACAAGAAAGATTTGAGTTCTGAAACTTATAGGATGTTTTAGATAGTATAATGACCTTATACATACAGTATCTAAAGATAAATGGAATAGTTCACTGAAAAATGAAAAATCTGTCATTTTTTACTCATCCTCAACATGTTCCAAACCTGTTGAGTTTCTTTGTTCTGTTGAAAACAAAGCCAAGGCCAATCCACAGACCTTGGGGTGATTTTGCAATGTAATGTGTATTTATATAGTGCATTTATCGTGTGTGGACATACACCCAAAGAGCTTCACAATCATAAAAGGGGGGTCTCTCCCCATCAGCACCAGTTTGTAGCATCCACTTGGATGATGCAACGGCACCCACAGGACAATGGCGCCAGTGTGCTCACCACACACCAGCTATAGGTAGAGTGGAGAGACAGTGATACAGCCAATTCGGTGGATGGGGATGACTGGAAGGCTCAAGGGCAGATGAAGGAAATTTGGCCAGGACACCGGGGTTACACCCCTACTATTCGAGAAGAGTCATGGGATTTTTACTGACCTTGGTGAATCAGGACCTCGTTTTAACGTCTCATCTAAATGACGATTTTGAACACTTTTCACAATATCTTGTTTGTGTTCAACTGAAAAAAGAAATTCATCAGTCACACACGTGTGAGTAAATGGTGAAGTTTTAAATTTTTGAATGAACTACTGTATCCCTGCATCTAGGGTATTTCAATCTCACAGTCCACGACCCCTAAAATGAGAACTGTTCATATTAATTTCAACAAATTAAATCTGTATGTGAATAAACTTGAATCAATATGCGCCTGTTATGCGTTAACATTCACAATATATAGTGTTTGTGCAATTTCTGCACTAGTAAGCCATGAAATAACATTCATTTAAAAAGTTTTAAAATCTTCATGTTTGCTCCAGCACATTTGCTGTTCTTTAATACAAATTCATGAGATCTGTGGGATTCAAAGTCCATCCGTACAGTATTTGCTGAAACAGCTGGATATACAGCAAGATTTTTGTTCAAAAGAATAAACAGCATATTAATAAATATATTTATATAAATAAATATAATTATTGATACAGTGAGGAAGTAAATAAAGACTCATTTGATGTAAAACAAAACAATGACTTGTTAAAGAGAAGGTTTACCCAAAATTCTGCAACCATGTACTCGCCCATCACTTGTTCAAAACCTATTTTAAAGAGTTTTTTTTTGTCTTCTGTTGAACACAAAACAGGATATTTTTTTAAATGGTGGTAGCTGGCAACCTTTGCCTTCCATAGTAATTTTTTGTTCCAATTAGAGAAGTCTGAGGCGACAGCACCACAGCAAGAAGGTCGCTGGTTCGAGCCTCGGCTGGGTCAGTTGGCATTTCTGTGTGGAGTTTGCATGTTCTTCCCATGTTCGCGTGAGTTTCGCCCACAAGTCCAAAGACATGTGGTAGAGGTGAATTGGGTAGGCTAAACTGTCTGTAGTGTATGAATATGAATGGATGTTTCCCAGTGATGGGTTCCAGCTGGAAGGGCATCCGCTGTGTAAAAAATGTGCTGGATAAGATGACGGTTCATTCCGCTATGCTGACCACAAATTAATAAAGAGACTAATACGAAAAGAAAATGAATGAACGAATGAATTAGAGAAGTCAATCGGTCCCAGCAACCAGCATTTTTTAAAACATCTGTCTTTACGCTCAAAGAAAGGAACTCATGAAGGTTTTAAACTACATGAGGGAGAGTAAATGATGAGGTAGATTTCATTTTTGTGTCAACTAACTCTTTAACTAATGCTCGAACACAACAAAATGTGCCCTTCTTAGTGCCTTTTCCCCCCAGACCAGACTGTACTGGTGCACCGATGCTCAATTTTGAGCATGCTATGAGACAGTATGAACTTTTTGTCAGCTGTAATCACATCTTTAAACTATCATCATCTTTTAAGACTGTACTTGACGGCGAGTCCCGCAGCAAGTAGCGCCAGCATTGCTGCCAGAGCAAGGCCGCGGCGCAGCACTAAAACACTCAAAGGCAGCTGCACTTTCACTGTAGCCACGATCTCTTCCTCATCCACCACCAGCACATCCACATCTGTAGCATCATTCACATCACAGCCTTCATTTTCACCATCCTCCTGCGAGGCTGTCAAGAAAATCACTCCCTATTAGCATGCCTCATTAAATGTAATCAGACTTCTGAATGGTTTGTGTCACAACAAACATATTACCGCCATCCGTCCTTCTGATCGCCACACCGGCCCTGATCTGCGCCTAAAGATTGTTCATATTTAGATCGCTGAACTGAAAGTGACTGCTGTGAATATTGAATGAAAGGAAATCCTGTATTCCTCACCTCTTCCGAAGCTTTCTTCCAGTTCAGCTTGACAAGAAGGACGATGAAGAATATTGACTGAAGGAAGACGGAAACTAACAGGCCAATCCACAGACCTTGAGACAATAAATAAATACATTATTAAATATCATAAGTAATTTGTATAATATATTTGTAATTAAATACATTGTAAATATTAAATAAAATTTTATATATAATTTATTTTATCATAATATGTACAAAATACATTTTAAAAAATTATTAAATCCTAATAGTTTGTTACAATATTTTGTAATATACCCAATTATTTCAATTCTAGCAACAAACAGGATAACATTATTGTAAATCAACTATATTTCATATATATACTGTGTATACATATTATTATTATATTATTATGTATTAATTACGTTACATTTTAGCAAAATTCCCATTTTTAACAGCAAACTATATATTTTTATGTATTATTTCTTTAATTATATATCTTGTACTATGATGAAACCTTTATGTATATTATATTATATTATATTATATTATATTATATTATATTATATTATATTATATTATATTATATTATATTATATTATATCATGTTTAGCTCACCAAAAATGCCCATTTTAGCAGCAAACATCAAGGGTATTCCAATAGGACATCCAATTCCATAATATCCCAGTAGGTTGCATATGGCGCCAAGCTTCTGCTTGCCCAGACCTTTCACTATACTGCTACCTGCTGCCTGATTCAGTTCACAAAACAAAAAAAAAAGATTGCCATTTTGTCCTCAGATGACCCATTTCAGTGGACTACCTCATTTATATGGACGTGAAGGACAACATCTAGTTTAATTAAGGTCTAAAGTCCACTTTCATGGTCATTGGGTTGATGTTGTCAGTTTTGTTATTATCAGTAATGAGGGCTGTGAGTGCTCTAACACAACTCTGCTAATGACCTACCGTTGTGGCATCAAAAATGTGGAAAGGAGTGTATAAAACCATTACTGTGGCAACCCTCTGGATGATGTCTCTGGGGGAGAAAAAAACAAAAACAATTGTCCCAATATTAGTGTTGTTTTTATAACCTTTGTTTGAATTTTATGAGTTTGAGGATTTCAAATGTTTTATACGTTACTTTCAGATGCAACATGGACAATAACAAATAAATATTTTTAAAAGTAATGTGAAAATATTTAATAGTACTTTGTATTAAATATGTGCTATTCAAGGTTTTTTTCCCCAAACTATAGAATGCGTTGTGGTTGTTGTTTTTAATATGTATTAATTATACAAAAGTTATAGTTATACTATAAATAACCTACACTATAAATATAAATATACTATAAATATACTATAAATAATCAAAATGACATATATTATGTATATAATTATGTGTTTAATAAATTATATTGTTAATATTCATTATATGTTATGTTATTAAATTGTTATAAATTACAATAATAAATACACAAATATTGTGTAGTAATAAGAAAATTTTGACTTAAATGAAATTGACTTAAATGAAATGCTCTTCAGTGTTTGTTCTATGTATTTTGAAAATTGTTATTTTCAAATTCTAAATATATATTTATTCATAATAATATAAAATAGAAATATTTATTATTTATATAAAAAATCTATTATTTTATATTAACAAACTTATTAAATAATCAAATGTAGACTGTAAATAAATCATCATTGTATAGAGAAAACATATTAAAATCTATTTTCTAAAGAAATACTGTAAAATGCCTCATTACATAAAGTTAATAATTAAAGCGCTATATGAGTGAAGTTGATTACAACTTTCAAAGTTGATCCCAACAAATTAGGAGAAAATTACAGAGAAGATAATTATGGAAGTAGTTTAAAGCAAATGTATTTTTTTTACTAAAGAAGAAACACTCACTTGTCATTAGTGAAAATACGAGCAATTACATTCTTTGAACAACCAATTACAGTTGCCAATACCACTGCAACAGAGACTGTAAATAAAATGCAGAATACAATAAAGATCATTAAAATTGTGCTTAAAGGACATGCACAAATAATGTATAAGCGACCTATTTACAAAAAATAAATAAATATAAAATACAGATATCCATATATTTTTAATATTTAATATTACCTGCACACATTATAGAGACTTTAGCAGAGAGTTTGGCTTGAGCCACATCTCCTGCACCCATGGCATTGCCCACTCTAACACTGCCAGCTATACTGAAGCCTATAGGGAACTGAACACAGGACACTCATTTCAAGTGTTCATACAATTTTCAAAAAAAAATGCTTTCATGACAATGAACACATACCATATATGCAATATTCGCCAGTCCATACATTACTGACTGTGCTCCAAGCTCCACTTCGCTTATCAGACCTGCCATAAAAAAGGAACGAAGTTCAGAAACAGGGTTCAGAACTCAATGAAAATGTTCCTTTTAAAAGATACATTGTTTTCAAGAAATTTGTTTTGATCTGAAGTGATAGTTTACACAAAATTGCTTATTGTGTTGTCAACTGCCATTATACACCACAGGAAGCGACTGAGTGGCCATTCTGGTAGTCCCTACTGACAAAGTCACTGTTCTGCATCAAGTATAACACGATGTACTCCAAAGGACGTGGTAAATCCATTTCAGATTCAATTCAATCAAATTTCATCATTTGTGGCCATTTTTTCCAACAAACAAGAGTAGTGCCTATTTAAAATGAAATATGAAATAGTCAATTGTAAATACTAGAGCTGTGTTGAAAAATTGTTTAAGAAATCGACTCTGCATCAATTCTAAGATTTTTAAAATGCAACACTATTCTCATTTTACAACTCCCCTACAATTAAAAAGCTGAATGAGTTTTGCCATTTTTGAATCTATTCATATGATCTTTGTGTCTGGCAGGAGCACTTTTCGCTTAGCTTAGGATAATTTATCATTGAATTAGATTAGATCAAAAAATTCAAAAAAGACTTTAATAATTCTGATTTAAAGCCTGACACTTCGGTAATAACATTGTGTACTAACACCAGCGGAAAATGAAAAGTTGCTATTTTACAGGCTGATATGTCTAGGAACTATAATCTTATTTTCAGCGTAATAATCAAGGAACTATGCTGCTGTACCATTGCTGAAGCAAGCACAATGATATTATGATTCTTGATTATTACACCAGAGTGACAGTTTTCAGTAGAGATTAGCATTACATTTTTGAAAATCTCAGAACTGACAAAAAATTTACTTCTCAAGCTATTTTTGCAACAGCTGCAATAAATGTGTAAATATCTAAATTTACTGTTCAATAAGGACAGTTTTAGATAAAAGAAACATCTCTGTTTATATCCCTTTACAAATACAATTATGGAATAATCTGCCATCTACTGTTATGCAACACAAGATACTTTTTTTCCTCATTATTAGAGCATGTTTTAATTAAAGCAGAAGAGCTTCTAAATCCCAAATAAATAATAATAATTGCATATTTAGGAGTTTTGATGAGCAATCCAGTTATTTAGTATAAATCACTGTATATTAATCATATCTTAATTATTAATTTCTTTTATAAAAATAAAAACAATTTGCTGTCAAATGAATCTGCAGTATATCAGGTCCTTATTTTAACAAGCATGCACTTTAACCTGCCAGCAGGCCTCCAATCTCATAGGTCCACCACTCTCCACACATCATGAGCATACTGGGAATGGCCAAATAAATGAACGAGTCCCATTCCTGCAAGCAGTCCATCGACCAACCTAAACAGCCACAAAGAAGTGCTTTAATGTAGACCTGTCTGCTGGATCAACTTGAAATGGTTGTCATATTTACAAACATGAAGATATTACTCACCTTTCCAAGTCTCCTTATAAAGACCTTTCCATCGGATGTAGATGAACAATATGGTCGCCAAACTGTACTGTGAGATTGTATTTGCTGCTGCTGAGCCTCTGAAGATGAAAAACACATGATCAGTTTTCGTTTTTCTAGCTTTTAAATTAAAATGAAATGTTGTGGAAACTCACTCAACACCCATGTTCAGGACAAAGAGGAGGATGTAGTTTATTAAAGCATTCAAGATATTCGCTACTACTCCAGTTATGACCAAGGGCCAAAATATTCCCTGTAATGACAGGTTTGATTAGGTTTTTACAATGAAGCTTTTTCAGAACATCACATTTTAATATCTTACACCTACCTGATTCTGTAGATACTTCACTTGAACAATGAACATATATACAGCCTGTGAGACAAAAATAGACAGTATTTAACAGTATTTTATGTGATTATATCTGATTTAACAAAGGTCAGTTCTATGAAATAACCATTAGACTAAAAAGGAAAACATAAAGCTTTTTTGGCATTCAGTACTTCAAGATTTGACAAAATAAAGAGTGTGTGTTTTAACCTTTTTAAATGTGTATTTGGAAGTACCTACCGGAAGACCAGGCAAAAAAACGTTCACATAGAGTTGTGATACTCTGAAAGAGGAAAAAACTAAAGATGTTTTTACATTCATATATTTTTCTTTTGGTATATTGCAATAACAGTGATGATTCTGTTTGGTTGAATCCAAGGAATGGAAGGTGCCATAAAAAAAAAAGTCTTCTGAAATTTGATATTTCATTGTAGCTTGCTTTTAAAAATAACTAATTACTGTTAGGCAGTGTTGGGTGTATGTTACTTTAAAAAAGTAATAGATTACAAATTACTGACTACTACTGTAAAATTGTAATTTGAATACATTACTAATTACTTCTTGTAAAAATGATAATGTAATAGTAATAATAATAATAATACATATTATTCGTATAGTACTTTTCAAACATGCATGCAAGTCAAAGCGCTTCACAATCAACAAACAATCATTAAATAAATTAAATAAAAAAGCAGTATATGACAAATGTACAGACAAATAAAGCAAAATAAACAGCAAATATATAGTCAGATAAAAGCATACATGTACAGTTGAAGTCAGAATTATAAGCCCCCCTGAATTATTAGTGTCCCTGTTTATTTTTTTTCCCCAATTTCTGTTTAACGGTTAGAAGATTTTTTTACACATTTCTAAACATAATAGTTTTAATAACTCATTTATAAACTTTGAAATTGAAATTATAACTGATTTATTTTATCTTTGCCATGATGACAGTAAATTATATTTTACTAGGTATCTTTCATAACACTTCTATACAGTTAAAGTGACTTAAAGTGATTTAAAGGCTTAACTAGGCAAGGCAAGGCAAGTTTATTTATATAGAACATTTCATACACAGTGGCAATTCAAAGTGCTTTACATAAACAAGAATTAAAGAAATAAGTATAAGAAAAATAAAAACAAATAATAAAAATGATTACAAAAATAACATTAAAACTGATAAAATGTGAAATAAAAGTATGAAAAGGAAGAGAAAGGTTAATTAGGTTAACTAAGCAGATTAGGATAATTAGGCAAGTTATTGAATAATGATGGTTTGTTCTGTAGACTATCAAAAAAATAAGCTTAAAGGGGCTAATAAAGTCCTTAAAATGGTGTTTAAAAAAATAATAACTGCTTTTTTACTAGTCGAAAAAAAAGACTTTCTCCAGAAGAAAAAATATTATCAGACATACTGTGAAAATTTCCTTGCTCATTTAAACATCATTTGGGAAATATTTTAAAAAAGGAAAAAAAAATTCAAAGGGGGGCTAATAGTTCTGACTTCAACTGTACACGCATTTATGCATATATCTACACAATCACACACATAATAGTCCTTACATATGCATATACAAGCAAACACTGTACGTACATACATACACCTGCACAATATACATATATACATAAAATACATCCACTTCACAAACTGTTATATTCATATGCCATTTTAAAAAGGTGCATCTTAACACGCTTTTTAATAACATAAAAAGTAATCAGATTACTAATTACTTTACTCTGAAGTTACTTTTAAAACATGTAAAACCTATAAAAATACAAAATAAACTGCAGCTCTTTTAGTAATTAAATATTCACTGAGAAAAAAAAAACATTAGAATGGGTTGATCACATTAGCTTGACATATTCAACAGACCTAAAGAGAAAGTTTGCCCAAAACTTCAAATTCTCTCATCATTCACTTGTTTGTAACCTGTTTGTCTTTTTTTATACAAAAAGACATAAAGAAAACTGGATACCTGTAACCATTTACATCCATAGAATAAAAAACACTGCATTGTTTGTTCTGTGTTTGTCTGAAGTATTAAGTCTAAATAAATCTCTATATTTCATACAAAGGAAATTTGTAAAGGCTCATGCTTGTTAACTGATGTTGCAGCGCAATTACATTAACTTCAGTAACTGTAATCAAATTGGACAGATTTAAAATGTATTTTGTTATATTACTGCGTTTCTCAAAAATGTAATTAGAATACAGTAACACGTTACTCTGGAACGCGTTACACCCAACTCTGCTTTTGAGTACAAGAATACATTGCATGAAGCTATTTTTCTAGGATGATACTACAACAGCATGGACTATTAATATTACTAAGAACCAGTTTTGTGCTAGTCTCTGTTTGATAATCACAGTTTTAAGTAGTTCTCACCTGGCAACCTCCGGGCTTTGACCCGCAAGAAGTAATATTGACTCTGTATTGATGAGAATGGCACAGCATGGCAAACATGTAAGTAGAAGGATTATAATTGCCTTCTGAGTTATAACACCAACTTGTTGCAAGTTCCCAGCTCCATAAGTCTAAAAAAGACAAAGCAACCTTAAAGTAAATAAAAGGTTGCATTTGATGACTAGTGAATGAGCAGAGCAATGTAGTTACCTGAGAAATAAGTGTATCACATGCTGCAGACAAGCCAAAGCCAATGCCAACACCTAAAACATTGATAACCTGTTTGGAATGAACACTCATTACTCTCTTATTATTATGCTTTAAAATACATTATTTTAAACCACATTTTCTACAGGACATAAATATTTGAAACTCACAGCTACGGCAAGAGTAACACCATCAAGCTCTAACTTTCCCAGGTGTCCACAAAACACAGAGCTTGTAAAAAGGATTAAGTAATCGAAAAGAATGGCGAGAAACTATAAGAAGAAGAAAACACAAAGATGTTTAATGTTTAAGTAGTGGATATTATTATAGAGGTAAAGCCAGTCATTTGTGTCATGCTAGCCAAACTAAATCTCAAAGGAATGATTTATATAAAGGTTATTTTTCAAAATGGCAATACTCTTATCTCGGAGTAATCATGGCAAACTGTAGGCCAAATCAGAAAACTAAGTGAAAAATAGTCATTTAGGAAAACCACTGTTCTCGTGTTCCACAATACTGAAGCAAATAAGTTGCAAAATTCATTTTAAAATGTAACATACCAACCAGGATTACAATATGTAAAATGCCAATTTTGCATTGACCATCACAAATGTGAATAGTTCAAAGTAAAAATGAAATTCTATTATTTATATCTGCCATTTTCCACCACAGTTTTATTACAGAATGTAAATTGCATACAAATTTGAATGCTTTATAAGTTGCAAAATGAAATGGAAAATGCAATTCCCAGATTGAATTGACGTGTGTAATGTGTACAAGCAGAAATGGTAGCAAAATGATCGTTTAAAGGGATAGTTTACTAAAAGAAAGGCATCGTTTACTGACCCTCCACTTGTTCTAAACTAATTTTTGTTCTTCTGATGAACAGAAGAGATTATATATTGAAAAAGGCTGGAAACCAACAGCCATTGATTTCCATAGTAATTTTTATCTCCTATGGATTTTAATGGCTACCAGTATTTAGATTTATAAAAATTAACTTGGTTTTGTGTATCTCATAAAAAGATGGAACCACATGAAGGTGAGTAAATGGTGAGTAAATTTGACTTTTTGGGTGAACTATCCCTTTAAATGTTATTTACCTTAATTGAATTAACACCTTGGGTCAGGATGTGTGTAGCAAAAACAGTGTTTATTTCCAAATATATAAAAAAAAAAGGCTATCAACATAAAAATCATGAAGGTTTAGAACTATTTGAGGGTGAGAAAATAGTAAGTTTATTTTTATTTCTGGGTGTAATATCCTTTTAAGTTGCTTAACCTAGTCATCATACTCTGACAAGTTTTATGAGATCCCTTGATTCACGTCAAAAGAATCAGTTGTCAAAAAACATTTCAGTTTCAGAGTTAGTAATGTGTCAGGCAGTCATAGCAGGCACTCCAGACAGTCATGTACAGTACACTTTGTGTTTGTTATCTTCATTCTGAATTACACATGCACAATATTATCAGCTAATCGGTTTTCAAATCAAATGCTTCTGAAAGAAACTTGTTTTCTAAAAACTGCTGTAACCAGTTATTGAATACCTATTGCCCATAATTTATTTTAAATCACCCAGAACTGCCATGGTTAGCGTTATATCTTATGAATGTAACACTGATGGAAAATCATGTTCTCAGCAGTTCATCACAACTCAGCAAGGGAAAGAGATAGGATGTGCAAGGAAGGTGTTCATATTGGATCTCTTATCCAATATGACTACATTAAAAAAAATGACTACATTTAACAATCCCTTGAATTGAATTTAGGTAAGTTAGCATCTAGTTTGACTTTGCTTTATAATAAATGAAAAGAAAAACTAATTACTGTGCTATTATGTTGTTTCATTTTAAATATATATTGGAAATAATGTCCTACTGTAGTATTTAAACTTCATTAGTATTCAAACATCACTGTGAAGTTACTTCAATGTAACCATAGGCCAAATGCTTACTTAAAGGGATAGTTCACCCAAAACTCAAAATTCTGTCATCATTTACTCACCCTTCACTTGTTTCAAATCTATTTAAGTTTAATGTTTCTGTCGAACACAAAAGATTTTACATTTTAAAAATGTTTTTAAACTCCTGTCCTCAGACTTCCATGGTATTTGTTTTTCCTACTATGAAAGTAAATGTTTACAGGTTTCTAATATTTTTCAGGAAGTGTTTATTTGTGAAGAAAAAAATAAACCCATAAGGTTTAAAACCACCAGAGTGAGGTAATTTTCATATTTGTGTGAACTATCACTTTAGCACACATAATGCCCACAAACAGATGCCATTTAAATGTCAATTATTATTTATTTATCAAACACCACCACAACTATAAGGATAAAACAAATATTTACAAATTATATTCAGATACACATAGGCTACAAAATAAACTGCCAGTTACGTGGGCCAACCACAATTTAAAAAGCTGAGATCAAATCAAAGTGAGTTAGCTAACATTTACTTTACTGTAATATGTTATGTGTGACTGCAGTGATGTTTGTAAAGTGTGAAAGTTAAACTGGTGTACATGCCATCCCTTTCCTTCACGAGGTCTATGTGTAAACTAAAATGACGTACTTACCACGGGAAAAGCTAATGTACACATGCTTACAAACTCTCTCGTATAGTCCACTGGTAAAAAACTAAAACACCTAGAGCACCATCCACATCTGGAAGAGTTTTCTGCTTCGTTCATTCTTTCGTTCATCCTGAGGAAAAGTTTGATGGCTGATTCACAGAAAGCTGAAACTCGTTCCTTTAGAAAGCTAAGCAAGCTAATAACGTCTTATCTCTGTAGTGTTAAATATAAAGTTCAACTTCAAGAGTTAATTATTTTCAGTGCTGTCACTATAAATGAGTCACGGTTACGTAATCCAAAATAGGCGGATCGAACTGATCGTTACCTTGGCTACTTGATTTGTGTATGCCGGTGTTAAATATCGATGCGTTATAAGTTGTTTAATAGGCATTTTATTATTAGATTGTTTTCCATAATAATTCCATATGAAGGTTTAAAGTGGACGTGTTTTGTTAGCAGAGAATTGTGAACGGTAGGAATTGCTTGGGCTCATTTCAGCTCGCGCAGAAATACTGCAACACACAAACAGCACAGAGAAGTCAGATAGCAAAGTCAGCAGCACTTCCAGCTGGGAGAGAGTACATAACTTATAATGTTATCTTCTTACCATACACCCACAGTGTAAATAGTGACATTTAATAAAACAAATGCGATCATCAGACTTTCCTAATTTAGCCTGGAGACAGGTAAGAAGCCAGACACCTGTTTGGGGAATGCACAATTTATATTAAGTAAAAAAAAGCCGTTAGATTTTGAATGCCATCTTAAGTTGGCAAAAATAATACTTGCTGTATTTAATTATTATATTGAGTCAAACAGATTGTAGGCACAAATAAAGTGTACTGTTACCAGTAGGTGGAGCTATTTATCCTAAAGTTGTTATTAGTTGCTATGCTAAAGTTAAGTTTCAGTATAATTTCTGAGCTGATTTACTGTAAATGTAAAATTTGATCGAGCAACAGTTGTAGTTTTTATTATAGTTTGAATTAGATTAGTCTTTATATTTTAATTTTTAATTTAAGTAATTTTTATGTCTATATAGTTTTTATTAGTTTCAGATTTAGTTATGTAGTTTAAACTGAAGAAAATAAAATAATGTTTTAATATATATTTTAAAGTAATTAATTTTAATTAACAAAAATGAGTTCAGTTGTATGCTTAATTTATGGTTTCATTCATTTATCATTTATTCTTTTTTTTTTCTTCAGCTTAGTCCCTTTATTAATCGGAGGTCGCCACAGCGGAATGAACCACCAACTTATTCACATATGTTTTATGCAGTAGATGCCCTTCCAGTCGCAACCCATCACTGGGAATCATCCACACACACTCATTCACACACATACACTATGGTTTATTTAGCCTACCAAATTTACCTATACCGCATGTCTTTGGACTTGTGGGGGAAACCGGAGCACCTGGAGGAAACCCATGAAAACATGGGGAGTAAATGCAAACTCCACACAGAAATGTCAACTTACCCAGCCCAGGCTCGAACCAGCGACCCTCTTGTTGTGAGGCGAACGTACCACCCACTGCAGCCATATGTAAATTCAGTTACCAATAATTTATAATGTACATAATAAAAGTTCTGGCATTATATAATTTATATATATCTTTATATCTATAGCAAATATGAAAAACCAAAAAAATAAAAAATAAATAAATCTAAACACGTACAACAAGGTGTGTAAACAGGGCTTTTGGGGATCTTAAATAGTTCTTCAAAAGTCTACAATTATCCATTTGCAATTTAAAGACTTTAAATGGTCTTAAAACTAAAATGTTGTTAAATGTTGCATGCACTGCTAAAAATCTTCCTCTGTATTTTTTGTTTTGCAATACAATATCTAAACACAGGATAGTTTACTCACCCTTCACTTGTTTACAAATTGCAAAAAAGTTGCAAGTTTTTTTGTTTGTTTGTTGAAAACAAAAGAAGAAGATATTATGAAGAAAACTGTAAAACAGTAACAATTGACATCCATTGTATTTGGTTTCAGCCTTTCAGCTTTTTTTTTTTTCAAAACATCTTGAACTATCCCATTTTTGCTTGAGATCCAAATTGAATAAATATATATACATTTAAAGTCAGAAATATTAGCCCCCCTTTGAATTATTTTTTCTATTTTAAATATTACAGATCAAGGAAATATTCACAGTATGTCTGATTTTTTTCTGGAGAAAGTCTTTTTGTTTTGTTTTTTGGCTAGAATAAAAGCATTTCTTTTTTTTTTTTTTAAATATTTTAAAGTCAAAATGATTAGCCCTTTTAATCTACAAACCATTGTTATACAATAACTTGACTAATTACCTTAACCTGCCTAGTTAACCTAATTAACCTAGTTAAGCCTTTAAATGTCACTTTAAGCTGTATAGAGCTACTTGAAAAACATCTAGTAAAATATTATTTACTAACTAACATCATGTAAGAGATAAAGTAAATCAGTTATTGGAAGAGAGTTATTGTTTAGAAATGTGTTGAAAAAGTCTTCTCTCTGTTAAACGGGGGCTAATAATTTTACTTGTGTGTGTATATATAGTTTTCTTAGGAATTTAACAAAACTACATGAATTACCTGTTAATGGGGTTTTTAAAAAATCTTTATTATTAAGTATTTATTTTTTCAGGGCGAGGCAGTGGCGCAGCAGGTAGTGCTGTCGCCTCACAGCAAGAAGGTCGCTGGGTCGCTGGTTCGAACCTCGGCTCAGTTGGCGTTTCTGTGTGGAGTTTGCATGTTCTCCCTGTCTTCGCGTGGGTTTCCTCCGGGTGCTCCGGTTTTTCCCCACAGTCCAAAGACATGCGGTACAGGTGAATTAGGAAGGCTAAATTGTCCGTAGTGTATGAGTGTGTGAGTGGACGTTTCCCAGGGATGAGTTGCGGCTGGAAGAGCATCCGCTGCGTAAAAACTTGCTGGATAAGTTGGCGGTTCATTCCGCTATGGCGACCCCTTTTTTTAATAAAGGGACTAAGCCGACAAGAAAATGAATGATTTATTTTTTCATATTGAAGTGTTAGAGCAATGTTTCAAATATTTATTCCAGTTTGAATAATATAATGATAGAGTTTATTATGAAGTTGTGTTTTTTTAATCATTGTTTGATTTAGAGAATATATTGAAGTATTGTTTCATTTAAATTATGCATAGCGTTTGCTTTAATTGGTCTTAAAAATATATTGCATGAACCCTATAAAACCCTGGCAAATATATAACAGCTATTCCTCTCTTAAATATCTGCAAATTTGTTACAAAATTAGCATTAAATTATTATTATTATTATCATCATATCAACTTGCCTGAGAAAAACATTGTTCACAAAGCCTTAGACCTGCAGTAGGTGGCATTCCAATGTGATGATTAGCAAAAATTTGAAATGTAAAAATGAATCCATGCACATTAAAGAGTTACCCATTTTCACTTAGTTCAGCAAAAGGTCTTCCAAGCAAAAAATGAATTTTACGAATAAACTATTTTTTTTTGGGCTTTTATATGTATACAGCCAAATTGGAGGCTGAGGTATATACACTTTTGGTTCAGATGGATAATGAGTGGGTGTTAGAGATGCCGAAAAAGCAGAAAAGGGCACTGTAATTATATCTGTTCTTTCCCTCAAAGATCTAAGATCATAGTGATCACAGCGTCACTGCACACCCAACCGCTTGTTAACTGCTTACTTGTTAGCTCTATAACAATTTAATTTCTTAAATAGAAAAATTCTGTGGTCAAGGCCAGACCTTTTTGAGAGTCACGTTCTGTAACTCTATTTTAATGCTTTATTTCATACCACATATTTTGTGTGTGTATGTGTGTGTGTGTGTGTGCGTGCGTGCGTGCATGTGTGTGTTATTTTTAAAAAGCATTTCTTCGTTTGGCGCAATTCCCACTTTTTGACCGCACGCATGTGATCTAAACCTGACCAAAATTGCAACATTCCTCTCTAGCTATTGCAACAATTGCAAGAAATGATCATGAGGTTTCAACCTGCTCGTACCTCAGCAATTGAGCAGTATTATGCACTGTGGGGTTGTGGCTGCTGACTTGAGACTGTAAACACATGGTTGGGAAGTCTAGTCTTTTGTCTCCGCAAGACCATGAGCTATCATTAATCCAGTGCTTCTGACTTCGGCAGCTTTGTGAAATCATCAGGTGGTGGATTTGCAGTGATGCAGAGCTGTCTCCTCTAAAGATATAGTTTGACCTTAGAGATTATAATTTAGAGTCAGATTCACAAGATTAACATTGCTTTTTAATGTCTTTACCTGAGAGCTTACCGTTTTTTACTGTTTTTGCGTGAAAACCCATGCTTTTTTAAGTGTACGTTTCTAGTTTAGGAGCCATATTACTTTCATTTAATGATAATGTTTAATTGTTTATCGATTCATTGAGGGTTTTTTCGGTGATGTCTAATGTTTTTGTCACATGGGCATCATGTTTCTTACACGCTTTTTCACAATTTTTTTAGAGGAAGGCTTTTTTTTTAGTTCTTGAAATGTTTTTGGTCATAAAATAAAATGTAAAAATAACCATTAGAGAACATTCTGTGCAGGCACTCTTTTGGGTTTTTAAAACTTTAAATAGTTTATAATGGGCAATTCTAAAACTTTTGAACATGCAGTTTTCCTCAAGGCTTAGTGCTGGGTAATTGCACATGTATAAATCATGGGTTATGTGATCAGATTACAAAAATTAAGTACTTGTAATTATGTTACATTATATTGTAACATTTTCCCAGTGATGGGTTGCAGCTGGAAGGGCATCCACTGCGTAAAACATATGCTGGATAAGTGCTCTGTGGCGACCCCAGATTAATAAAGGGACTAAGCTGAAAAAAATGAATGAATGAATATTGTAACATTTATGTAAGACTTTTTAGAGGTCATAGTAAAACAGATTTTAATGATGTTACATAAAAAATATTCAGAAAATATATTAATGGCCATTTTTAAAAAGGTTTCTCCAAGATTATGAATATAATTTTCATTGTACATTCAATTGAACAATATTATTTCATTGTAAACACTATGATATATGTTTTTGTATGCTTATTTTTATAACAAAATTTCAAAATTATTGCAAATATTTTATTAAAATGATACTTTATGAATAACAAATAAACTCATTCATCCATTCATTTTCTTGTCGACTTAGTCCCTTTATTAATCCGCAGTCGCCACAGTGGAATGAACCGGCAACTTATCCAGCAAGTTTTTACGCAACGGATGCCCTTCCAGTCGCAACCCATCTCTGGGAAGCATCCGCACACACATTCACACACACACTCATACACTACGGACAATTTAGCCTACCCAATTCACCTGTACCGCATGTCTTTGGACTGTGGGGGAAACCGGAGCACGCGGAGGAAACACGCCAATGCAGGGAGAACATGCAAACTCCACACAGAAACGCCAACTGCGCCGAGACTCGACCAGCGACCCAGCGACCTTCTTGCTGTGAGGCGATAGCACTACCTACTGTGCCACTGCTTCGCCCACAAATAGCAAAATATGGTGTTAAGCCATAAATAAATGTAGGACAAGATAATAAAAGTAATGTGATTACTTCGGTCCAAAGTAATAACAAAATGTAATCTGGCTGGTTTATTTAAAGTCTGTAATTTTGATCATGTTACAAACTACAGTTTTCCTTATATAATTAGTATTGGACTACTATTTATGGACAACAATTTATTAAACCTAAATTAATCAATTTGATAATCAACTAAATTTTTAACGAATCAATTTAAAACTGAAGATCAGCAAAATAAGGGCAAGTTAAAATGCTAAAGATTTGACTTTGCATTTTTTAGTAAATTCTTTTGTCTTGTAGATTACAGGCTGCCATTTTATTTTTATATGGGAAAAGGAGCTTTTCTGGTTCTGTTGGCTTGACAGTCAGCTGAGCTATTTTATGGGACTCTGTGTTTATAGAACACTGTCCTTGCTGTCATTACTTCTGGGCCATGTCTTTCCCCAAATAGTTCTTGCTTCATTTTTAATTTGTACTGGCGGGATCACTTTGAACTTAATGAAACTTCTTGAACTTACTGAAAGTTGTTCTTGCTGTACAAAGTTTAACTTGCACGAATATAGTTATTTAAAACTTAAACTTGTGTCAGTTTTTTTTACAACCTTTTATGCCCGTATGATGAGATATAAATGGGCAGAATTTAAAACAAACTAAATTGAAATGTACTCTACACAAGTAAGATGCGTAATTTAAGATCTGAACTAAAATAATAAGAAGCATAACATTGTTGAAAAAGATTTAAACAGTTTTATTCAAAACAGCAGTTTGAAGACATTCCACCACATGCCCTGTAAGTGCTACATGTTCATCAACCGATTTATTTATTATTATAATTTCTCCAAAAATATGTTTCAGCAATCAAACAAAACACATACAGTGTATAAAAGAACTCACACACTGAAATATACAGTTATACAGTACGTGTGTTAAACTTCAAAATACCATCCCTGTATATGTCCATTCAAGTCATATACTTTCCAATTATGTAGTGTTTCCTTTTTACAAAGTCATTTTGATGACAGTACGTACTGCACTGTAAAATAAAAAAGTTGACTCAGCTCAAAAATAACTGCAGGACATTGCCTTAAAACTTTAAGTTGAGTAAACCTTTTATTTTATTTTACAGTGTGTATTGCATAGGGGCGAGGCCGTGGCACAATAGGTAGTGCTGTCACCTCACAGCAAGAAGGTCACTGGTTCGAACCTCGGCTCAGTTGGCGTTTCTGTGTGGAGTTTGCATGTTCTCCCTGCCTTCGCGTGGGTTTCCTCCGGGTACTCCGGTTTCCCCCACAGTCCAAAGATATGTGGTACAGGTGAATTGGGAAGGCTAAATTGACCATTGTGTATGAGTGTGGGTGTGAATGTGAGTGTGGATGTTTCCCAGAGATGGGTTGCAGCTGGAAGGGAATCCGCTGCGTAAAAACTTGCTGGATAAGTTGGCGGTTCATTCCGCTGTGGCGACCCTGGATTAATAAAGGGACTAAGCCGACAAGAAAATGAAATGTATTGCATAGGTCTTAAACTCAATTCGTGGAGGGCCACAGCTCTTCACAGTTTTGCTCCAACCCTAATCAAACACAGCTGATCCAACTAATCAAGATGTTCAAGACTACTAGAGACTCTTAAGCAGGTGTCAGTTGGAGGGGGTTGGAGCTAAACTATGCAAAGCTGTGGCCCTCCAGAAATTGAGTTTGAGAACACTGGTGTATGGACTCGATTCAAACATTACAAATAGAATTAAAGCTGCACAATTATGAACTGTTAACTCGCAAAAACACAAAGGAATTATAATTGTCTTTCTGCTCAAAACAGGAGACACCCATGAAAGAAAGGAAATCAGCAAAAACAATATTTCTGAAATTGCACTTCACCATTGATCTTGTAAAATAATTTTCCTCTTGCAGTTTGTTGCTTATAATGTGCTGAATTTGTATATAATGTTTATATGTTTCAGCATGTCATTTGTTACTTATGATATTGATTTGTTTAAACCATGAGGTATTTGCTTATTTAAATGTAGGGGATTGCAGACTTTTATTTGCCCTGAGATATAATGCAGTCAAACGTTTTTCAGAGAAATTCAGAGGAAAAGATTTCTCAATCAGTTGGTCCTGAGATATTAGGATATTATCAGAACAATATGTGAAAGATATATTTGGAAATATATAAACGTTTCAACCATCTAAACTGCTCACTTATTGATTCCACTTCTTCTTTCTCTGCTTTCTTTTATAGTCACTATATTTGTTAGGTAAACTTTTTTTTTTAACAAAAAGTTATTCATCATATAAAAATACAAATCTGCTAACAATGTGTTCATGCACACATATTTCTAAATAATGCTTTCATTTAGCAAGGATACTTTTTACATTATTATAAAAGTCTGTTCTAATATTCAATCTTCAAATAAGTGCTGTTCAGTTGAACCTTGTTCATCATAAAATGAAATAAAATCCTGAACAACAATGTAAAATGGCTAAAAAAAAGCTGTTGTTTTCATCTTGAGCAGCAAATCAGCATATCAGATTGATTTATGAAGGATCACGTGATGAAGACGTGATGAAAATTCAGCTATGACATCACAAAACTAAAATATGAGTAGTTTTAAACTGTAATAGTTTTTCCACTAAACATTATTGACCCAAATCTTTTGAAATTACATGAAGATATGTGGCTGGTTAGTTAGTTATGTGCCCCAAATAGTCTTCTGAGACATCAGTTTCTCTGTGTTCAATGTGCTGAACTTAGTGTTTAAAACAAGCAGCTTGCCGGGCTGCATTTGGCCTCGTACTGTCCATCATATTACTGTTTGGTTGGCCCATGCAGGGAAAGAGTCTAAGTTGAACATGGCTTTTCCCCAAGTGTTGATGGCTAAGGTGATGCAGAAAATCCCTATGATGTTCATCATTATGCCAGTTTTCGCCTGAGAAAGACAAAAAAGTTAAATGTCATTGTGTGAGTTTATTGGTCACTGGAGCAGCTGGAAAAGAAAGTCTTTTAGTAGTAAAATGACTTGTGGTTTGTCTGGACCAGGGGTGCCCAAACTGTTTCATATGAAGGGACAAAAACTCATTGATAGGCGTAGGTTGAAAATAAATATACCAAACTATGTTACATTAAAGTTACCATGGGTAATTTCCTAATTCATGTTATTTTTTCATAATATAAATACATAAATAGAAAAAAGTACTTTGAATTGTTTTAACTAACTCAGTATAACATTTAAACGTATAACTTATTCCAATAAAAAAATAAACAGTCATATTTAACACAGTGGATGCTGAATACACTTGTCAAGCAGAATCTGCATATGTCTTGTTTCACTCACCAAAGTCTCTGCATTTTTCTCTATCCGTCTCATGTACATTTTAAAATTAATCTGACTAATTTACACCATTTGAATTGAAACATTTATTTTTGCATAGCTTTTTGTAGCTTAACAATAAAACAAATAAATAAAATGATACATTCAGTTTAAAATGACAATATCTAAAACATTCTTAGATCTATTCAAAGGTTACCATGAGCCAACTTTAGCCCACAAGCCCTAGTTTGGGCATCGCTGGTCTAGACTCTTCACTCTTTGTCTTTTTCTAAAGCAAAAAAAAAAAAAAAAAAAAAGGAAATAAATAAATGCTCTAAATGGTAAAATTTTGATTTTACATTTGGAAGAAATGTTCTCAGACCTTTGAAGAATAAAACAAGTAATGGCATTTTACATAAGACCAATCTTAAAGAGACTTAAGCCCCACTTAAAGAGATGCAATTATGTTATTTGATTAATATATTTAATTGAGCCTTTAATGCACATGTAAACATTGATAAGCAATCATGAACAGGAACACAGTAGTATAACGTTTTGTGAGAATAAACCTTAAACTGGATTCTGTGCCTCAAGCAAGCAGCCAGATCTGAATACATTAACATTGGTCACTGATCAGGACTCGTTTTTGAATTAAGGACTAATTTATATCTGTTCAAATAATAATAAAAAAATCTTTATCAAAAACAAATATTGAACAAATGATCAAAAGAAATATCTTAATACAATTTAAATATATAAAATATGAATTGATGTGTACTTTAAACTTTATTTACATTTTGTCAAATAAAATATTTTTTTAGTGTCATCCACCATAATTTTGTGGCTCAAAAGTATCAGTTTATGGACCGTTTTGGCACTGGCACGATATTAAGGGTGCTTTCACACTTGGTTCAATTGCCTGGACTGTACCCAAGTTTGATTTCCCCCCTTGCCATCTTCTTGATTGGTCTTTTTTCCTCCTGATCCTGCGTCATCGAGCTGCTGTTTCGTTTACGGCCATTGCTAGGTGACGGTCAAGAAAGCAAAGCGTCGAAATGGAAAGACGTCTGCACATCGTGGTCACTCTGCTTTTACTGAAGCTTTTGGTTTTGGACATACAGAAAGCGACTCACGTTCATCTGCCGCAATCATATTATAAACATTCAGAACATCAAACAGTGTCTGCAAAAGCTATTTTTGGAGAAGACTAACAGAAATTATCACTGTGTTTGCCCTTGCTTAGTCCCGCTTGTCACCAAGGTATGATACGTGACACACACACACAGACACACATGAATGAATGTTATGAAAACGATAGTTTGTTGTACAGTTGGCGGTTCACTTCTGTTATTTAGTATGATTGCAGGTGGACTTGGGTATGGTTCAGAAGAGTTTAGAAGACATGTTCACACTATCTAAATGTACCGTACTCGTCAATCGAACCCGGGTGCGGACCAAAAGTGCAAGTGTAAAAGCTCCCTAAAAGTATCGTTTTAACACCGGTATCGAAATAACCCCAAACGATACCCACCCCTATCTTTAAATGAACCACAATTGCCACTTGGACTAATAAAACAGAGCAAATTTTTTTTGTCAAACCTGGCAGATTTTAAAACTCACCATGTCTGAAACTTTGAGGTATCCATAGGAAAAGACTATAGCGTTTGGAGGAGTCGCCACAGGTAACATGAATGCAAAGGATGCGCTGAGTGTGCAGGGCACCATGATGTACAGAGGGTTGATCCCAACAGACTGAGACTGTAAAGCAGAAATCATATTTATAAAGCAGAAAACAAGATTAATGGACAGAGCTGACTCATGTGTTCCTGATCTCAGTGCGTGCTTTCGGTGCTCGTCATGAAGTGGCTGTAATTGGGCTGTAATTCTTAAAGATTATAACACACTGTGAGTCATGTCTGCATGGAGCACTTCATTGAAGCATTGCACAGCTGGAGAGAAACACAACTTTACGACTGATGCTATTTCAAGAATTTGAGCATCTGCTCCTTTGGGCGGATAAATGAGAAATGTGTATATATGACAGGACAGGGCGTGAAAAAGTAATGTTGATCTAAATATGGTCAAATGTGTACAAAATAAAGAGTTTTGTTCATTTAAATTTAAATCGAAATTGTTAACATTCAGTTTAAAGATTTTGAAAGTCTTTAACTTATCTTATGCTTTTATAAATGCTTTTGACCAATTTTTTTACTATTCATTGTATTGTGTTCTATTTTAGTTGCATTTTTTTCTTGCACCACTTAACCTTCAGATTTTTAGGCCTCCATATTAGCTTTTATTGGCCAATCTACATTTAGATGCCTTGTGACTGGCATGCAAAGCTACCAATCAAAGTTAATTTTGTCCAGCGACATGTTTAGGGCAGGGCGTGAAAATGTAATGTTGATCTAAATTTAGTAAAATGTGGACAAAATAGAGGCTTTTGTTTATTTAAATTTTGATCGAAATTGTTAGCATACAGTGTTAAAATTTTGCCTTAAGGGCACCTATTTTACCTCTTTTACAAGATGTAAGATAAATCTTTGGTGTCTTCAGAATGTGTCTGTAAAGTTTTCAGCTCAAAATAATTTATTATAGCCTCCAGAATCTGCTCATTTTGATGTCTGTGTACGTTGTTGCTGTTTTTTTAGGCTGTGGCTTTGAATGCAAATGAGCTGCTTTTCCCCGCCCACTGATCCCACGTGTGTTTCTGCTTTTCATCATATGTTACATCAGATAAACAGCTCAGTGACAGAGACAGACTAGGATGAGTCAAAATGCCAAGTGTGTTTGTTTCATGTATTTGTGATGGAGTTTATTCAAGGTAGAGGTCTGCATTCCCACGGCTGTCCCGTGGGCGCCACGGGACCCGATCAGATTTCTGCGGCGCAGGAATAAATTTCCGAATAAATCGCGGGAGCGGTCGGTAACGGGTTTAATTTGGGACGGGAGCGGGCTGTCTAGCAATATCGCGGATATTGCTATGCTAATGAGAGAGCTTTGCCTTTGTGTGTGTGTGTGTGTATGTTAGTGCGCGTGCACGCGAATGAGAGAGAGCTTTGCCTGTGTGTCTGCTTGGTGCTTATGTGTGTGTGTTAGTGCGCGCGCGCGTATGAGAGAGAGAGAGCTTTGTCTGTGTGTGTGTGTGTGTGTGTTTATACAGACAGCTTGGCTGTCTGGACTGTATAGCTAGGTGATTTTCGGTTTTGTTCTCTTTAGCGGGATAGGCTGCGGCGGGTAGAAAACGTGGCGGGTCGGGTAGCGGGACAACAAATTCTTAATATAAGCGGGAGCGGTCGGGTTCGGGCTAAAACCTGGCGGGTGCGGGCGGGAGCGGGATTCAAAATTTTGTCCCGCGCAGATCTCTAATTCAAGGCTTTCTGAAATTATAAGTCTCACACAAATGCCGTTTGCAGCACACACACATATTAGCTTTTACTAACACCCTGCAGCTGTGATAATTATAATGGTTAAGAATTACTTAGCGATGTTACTGTCTTTATTGCTAACATGCTCTGTTTTTAACTTATAAAACTTATAAAAATCACAGAGAGTTGTAGCAAATTTTTGAATCTCAACTGTGGTCATGTTTATATATGTTATTATAGAAACATGGCATCTGGCAATCAATTCGGTGGGTGAAGAAAACTGCACCCCAACATTGTTGTGGTGGGCCTCAAAATCTCTGGGCTTTGGGTCCTATTTAATGTCAGGAAATTGTAAAAAAGAGACTTATTGGGTTTTTATCACTCTAATATGACAGTGGACACACTATACCTACACACAAAAGTGGATTTTTAATTAAGGTGCCCTTTAAAGAGTCTTTCATAAGTTACATATGCTTTTACATGTGCTTTTGACCATATTTAGGCAAGGCAAGGCAAGGCAAGGCAAGTTTATTTATATAGCACATTTCATACACAATGGCAATTCAAAGTGCTTTACATAAACAAGAATAAAAGAAACAAGTAAAATAAAAGTAAAAACAAATAATAAAAATGCATAAAAACAAAACAAAACATAAAAACAGGTAAAATGTGATATGAAAGAATGAAGAAGAAGAGAAAAACATGATAGTGCAATCTGTCGGACGCAGCACAGTGCTCATTCAGTAAAGGCACAGCTAAACAGATGTGTTTTCAGTCTTGATTTGAATGTGCCTAATGTTGGAGCACATCTGATCATTTCTGGAAGCTGATTCCAGCAGCGAGGGGCATAGTGGCTAAAAGCCGATTCACCCTGCTTTGACTGAACTCTTGGAACTTCTAGTTTATATGATCCTAAAGATCTGAGTGATCTGTTGGGTTTGTATTCAGTGAGCATATCTGTAATGTATTTAGGTCCTAGGCCATTTAGTGATTTATAGACCAGTAATAATACTTTAAAATCTATTCTGAATGTAACTGGCAGCCAATGTAAAGACCTGAGGACAGGTGTGATGTGCTCTGATTTTCTGGTTCTGGTTAGAATTCTGGCTGCAGCGTTCTGGATGAGCTGCAACTGTCTGACTGTCTTTTTAGGAAGACCAGTGAGGAGTCCATTACAGTAATCCACCCTGCTGCTGATAAAAGCATGAACAAGTTTTTCTAAATCTTCACTAGAAACAAAGCATCTGATTCTTGCTATGTTTTTGAGATGATAGTATGCTGATTTACTGACTGCTTTGACATGACTGTTGAAACTCAGATCTGACTCCAGAGTCACACCAAGATTCTTGACCTTATTTTTTGTCGTTTGACCTTTAGTGCCAAGGTACGCATTTACCTTGAGAACCTCATCTTTGTTTCCAAACACAATAATTTCAGTTTTCTCTTTGTTTAACTGAAGAAAGTTTTGGCACATCCAATTGCTCATTTCATCAATGCATTGGCAGAGGGTGTCAATGGGGCTGTAGTCATTAGGCTGTAAGGCTAGGTAGATCTGAGTGTCATCAGCATAGCTGTGGTAGGAGATTTGGTTCTTTCTCATTATTTGGCTTAGAGGGAGCATGTAAAGGTTGAACAGGAGAGGTGCCAGAATCGAGCCTTGTGGGACTCCACACGTCATGGGTGTCCACCTCGACCTATGGTCACCTATACTGACATGGTAACCTCTACCTTCTAGGTAAGATCTAAACCATTTGAGGACCGTGCCAGACAGCCCAACCCAGTTTTCCAGCCTATCCAAAAGTATGCTGTGATCGACAGTGTCAAATGCAGCACTGAGATCCAACAATACCAGCACTGTTATTTTACCTGAATCTGTATTTAGGCGTATATCATTGATTATCTTTATAAGAGCGCTCTCTGTACTGTGATGAGCTCTGAACCCCGATTGAAAATTGTCTAAACACCCCCTGAAGTTTAAGAACTTGTTAACCTGGTTAAAAACAACTTTTTCAATGATTTTGCCAATGAAAGGGAGATTTGAGATTGGCCTGTAATTGCTCAATAGGGTGTTATCCAGGGTGCTCTTCTTCAAGAGGGGTTTAACAACTGCAGTTTTAAGTGAGGTTGGAAAAATCCCTGATAGAAGTGAAGCATTTACCACTTTTAGAAGATCCATTTCTAAACAGGTAAACACCGTTTTGAAGAATGATGTGGGGAGCGTGTCAAGACTGCAGGTTGATGTTTTCATAACTTGCACAGTCTCTTCTAAGATTTCACCGTTAATTGCCATGAAATCAGACATAATGTCTGATTTCTTAAGTTGTGGTTGAGCTTGTTTGATATCGACACAACTTGACTGATTGGATGAGCTTATTGCCTTTCTGATATTATTGATCTTATCAGTGAAGAAATGAGCAAATTCATTACATTTGCTTTCAGAGAGGAGCTCACTTGGAATCTGACTGGGGGGGTTTGTGAGTCTCTCTATCGTTGCAAAGAGTGTACGAGCATTATTTAAGTTGCTGTTTATAAGGCTTGAAAAGAAAGTCTGTCTAGCAGTGTTAAGTTCCATATTAAAGGCATGAAGACTGTCTTTATAGATGTTATAATGGACTACTAGTTTCGTCTTTCTCCACATACGCTCAGCTTTTCTGCACTGTCTTTTCATCATTTGTACTTTCGGTGACCTTGTCCAAGATCCCTTTTGCCTGCCAGTCATCTTCTTGACTTTAACAGGAGCGATGTCATTTATGACATTTATTTAAATCAAAATTACATTTTCATGCCCTGCCCTTTGTTTGTTGATCAAACTGTGATTGGTTGCTTGCTTTGCATTTAGCTGATTATAATTATACATTGTCGCAACTGTAAACACTACGCTTTCGTCTTCCATATAAGGATGTCTGTGTTTATAATGTCTTTCTTTCCAGGTGGAGCTTTATAGAAGCAAATCACACACATCCAATAGAAATCCTGTACTCCTCAACCAATCAGATAACGACCGATGAAATGTTTCAATTTATTTTGTCCAATAGACATTTAGCCAATGGTCCAACATCTGAGTCTACCTAATATGCTCTTAAGGTATCATTACCATAGTTAAAGGCTTACCATAGAAGCAAGAACAGGAAGGAAGAGGGTTGCTGTGGCCACATTGCTGGTGCACTCAGTGAAAATGGCAATCAGGAGGCACAAGATGATCACAACGGCCCATGGAGGAATACTATGAAGTGGAGTCAACTGGTTCCCCAACCATCTGGATAGACCCGACTCCTGAGAGTCAAAAGAAACATCTGAAGATGCAGATCACAATTGAAGCATACACTAAGGATACAGTCAACACAACAGTATTTTGAGAACGAAATGATTCTCAAGCATCAAAATAAAAAATGTGAATGAAAAATACAGCTTTAACCCCCACCACCCCACTTTTTTCCTTTCCCTCACTGTTTAATAGGGCAGGGTAGAACAATGTAGATAATCAACAGGAGGTGAAGTAAAAGGATTGGGCCAATTCTAAGAGTTGGACTCAAACTCAATACAGGGCTATCAAACATTAATAATGATTCAAAATCAGAGACTGTTTTCACTGAGTGTTTAAAGTGTTCACCTCACTCCCTTTGGCCAGAGCAAATCCACCACCAAGCAGCAAAACAATGTTCCAGGGTAATTTCTTTTGAGCTACTTTCCAGGAGAGCAGGGCTGTGCCTGGTGCAGAAGAACGCTGAGATTCTGGAAATGAATATACAGTATACAGTCAGTTCCAGCTGACAGTAACAGTAAATTCAAACTTTTAGTCAGGCTCCAGATTTTGCAGTGTAGACCTTGATATTGTGCGGAACCCTTTTAGTTTTAGCAATTCACACTATTACTTACTCCCAATACCTTTTATATTGAAGTTGATATTTAGCCGCACCATAATGGTGTTTTGTAACATCTAGTTTTTATGAGGTGAGTTGTTAGCCCAATGCTCAACTCCCAACCTCAAGGTCCAAGAAATACACACATACACTACGGACAATTTAGCTTACCCAATTCACCTACAGCGCATGTCTTTGGACTATGGGGGAAACCGACAAGAACATGGGGAGAACATGCAAACTTCACACAGAAATGCCATCTGACCCAGCCGGGGCTGGAACCAGCAACCTTAATGATCACATTAACACAAGTTAAGATATTTTAGAAGAAATCTAAAAGCTTTCTCATCCTTCATAAAAAGCATTTGTCCCAATTTCAGTCCAGAAAAAGAACCAAAATGCATTTTCAAAACATTCTATGTGACTTCAGTGGTTGACTACAGACCCATTAGTTGGCAAAAATAAATAAATAATTAATACGACTCTGTTTGACTATTTCTTCTCTTCTGTGTCAAGTCATCAGTGTGCCCACGACGTCTCAGGACTGTTGTTATCTGGATCAGGGAGCTCTTGGATTTCATCAAAATATCTATGGCAGGGGTGCCCAAACTTTTTCCTATAAAGGGCCAAAAACCAAACTTGATTGAGGGCTGTAAGCTGGATCTATACCAAACCGTATTACAATAAATTTGCAAAGTGAAATTTCCTAATTTATTCGGTAATATTTTTTAAAAAGCCAACATTTTAAATCATATTTACTATCTAAAGCAATATAATTTTTTACATTTTATAATCAACGTATTACTGTAAAAACAAACAATTCCAATTGTAACACAATGTATTTCAATGCTGCATACACTAGTTGAGCTGCACCTGCCTTTATCTTGATATGCTCGTAGTTGTCAAATGTACTGTACATTAAGTGACAGTATTTAGATTTTAAAAGTCTGATTCATTTACAACATTTAATTGAATATTTTAATTTTAGCTTAGCAATTAAACTAAGAACCAAAACATTATGTTAAATTCAAAATTATGATTTCTGCCAGGCATTCATCCCAACCCTTAGGTTACCGTGGGCCAATTTTGGTGTAAGTTCCAATCTCTGGTTTAGGGAGATTGAACAAGATGAAGGGGATTAATAGCTATTTTTGCTGAATTAACCCCACTAGGGCTGTGCAATTGATACCATATTTGTTTAGTTTTTTATTTTGGCTTTCACTGATTCTGAAGAACATACTTCCACAGTTTTATTTGTGCTGTCGCTCCTCTATAACATTACATGACTGTTGTACATGCTTGATATTAATTTATTTTATAATTTAGTCAGACTTGTTTCAGTTACCTGTTTCAGAGCCAGTGGAAGAACTGAAGCACAGCTGGGGTGGTTTTGATGGCAGAACAAATAGCAGCATAGCAATAAAGACTGCAACTGTAGCATCTGTCACATATCTAAATGTGTGGAATATAAAAATAAAAAAGTGAGATCATTATGACAGTATTTCAAAATTTCTATGCTATATAAGAATATTTTGAGTGTAGTCTTTTTAAATATTTTTTTTCCCCACACATTATCGCACCCCCCTATTAGTCACTGGACCCCTGATTGAAGCCTAAAGTATAAATCATACTCCGCTTCGATGTTAAAGGTGTGTGTTGCCCAGCCTGCCACAAATCCAGGATCTCGAGTAAACCACAGTGCCACAAGCAAACTGAACAGAGCCAGAACACTGAGTTCCCCAAAACACATGGGCCCCAGCTGAAGATGCTGCTCGCGGATCACATTATAGGCAGCTATTTCCTTCTCAGACTTCACCGCCCCACATCCCCATGTCTTCCTAATGCTGGAAACAAAGTGAACAAAGAGCTTCATGAGGCCAGTGGTGAAAGCAGAGGTAAACGGTGTCAAATTTAAACATACTTGAATCCCATGAAAATGAACTGGAGGTAGAGCCAAGCAATCGTCAGCATGATGATCATGTTGGGGAAGGCGAAACCAAACCATGAGGCAAAGTTGATAACATCACCGTTTTCAGGGAACAATCTGTGGGGAAAATTAAAGGGATAGTTCAGTCAAAAATCAACATTTATTCATCATTTACTCACCCTCAGATAGGGTTGAATATCATTTTAATTTTAGTGATTACAATTTTGCTTATTTGGTTCTTATCAATTAAAGCCCTGCACGGGCCTTAAATCTAAGCCCTAGCTTGGCCCTGGCTTAGTAATAAATAATATATTTGCAGATATCTCCAATCTGATTTCGTACTAGTACAATTGTAATTGCAGATATCTCTAATTGTCATTCTGAGTAGTGGAATTATAATTATGACAAGTCAAAATATAATTAGAGATATCTCTAAATATAATTATGGAGTCAGAACAAAGATTTAAATGCTAAAAAGGCTTGCCATAGAGAGCGCTTCTCACTAAAGAGAGCAGCAGCGATGACGTAAGCGTGCCGAGGCCCGATATGGTGTGAGCGCGGGCCGTCGGGGAAGACGGGAGGGGGGACAAGCGTGCTTTGGCCCGGTTCGAGGCAACTGTACCTAGTGTGAGTACGGCCTAAGACACAAAGGCTGTAGCCCTGCCCTTATCCAACAGCTTATCTGACCCAGCTTATCTTTGAGTCTCACCCAAAGCCCTTTTTTTTCGGCAAACAGTTTATACCGTTACAGCCATCAAAATAGACCAGATTTGTGTTTAATAGAAAGTTTATATAATTTTTTTAATCAGAATAATTAAGAGAAATGTTTAGAATTTTATTTTATATATATATATATATATATATATATATATATATATATATATATATATATATATATATATATATAAGTTTTCATTTAAGTGACATCGATCTCCAAGTGGTATGTTGTCCACAGTGAGTTTAGTTACTCAATTTAACCCAGTGGTGCCTGCAACCGTGCAGCTGTACGCACTGTGCGTACCCACCATGAGAGGGCTCACACACATTTGTTTTTTAAATAAAAAGTCTTAAAATGAAAACAACTTGTAAAAAAAACATCCTATAATGTGAATTAAGTTCTCATTTAGTAAGAATATGTAAATAACTTGATTTTGATAAAAATGTCAGATAGAACCTTATAATTCTAAGGTGACAAAATGTATTTTAAATGTGGGTCAAGATAGGCCAAATTTACATGGCCCACATATCAATTATTACCATCTGGGCCAAATACTACATTTTACATCTGGCTCAAGTATTGTGTGCCACCTTAGAGACGGTGCTACCTCTGGCAAACCAGGGCCATGTTTGGCCCACATGCTGTATGCCAGTGCCAGATGAATGCCTATTGGGCCAGATTTATGCCAAATCTGGACCAGAATTCTTTGCTACCTGTTTGATTTTCCTACAATGCATTTTAAGGGTTTCCGACATTTTATTTTGTGTTCAATAGAAGAAGAAAAAATGACAGGTTTGGAAAAAAGGCAGAGTGAGAAACTTGACAAAATTTTGTCTTAATTAAAGTCTGAAAGCCTTTAACAATAGTTCAGTTATATTAAATTTTATTTTCATTTGTAGGACTCACTGGTTCATCTGACCCTTCAGCACTAGGTTAGGTCCAGTTCCTGTGAGTGTGGCGGTTCCTCCAACACTGGCAGCATAGCAAACACAGAGAGTCATGCCTTTAGCCATATGACGCTTCTCTGCCAGCTCCTTTTGTCTGACCTCTGGAGAAACATCCAGCATGCGCAGCACAACTAAGAAAAAAGGAATACACTGTGAAAAGCTATTAGTTACTTGAGTACACCTGTTAATTTAAAAGCGACAAGTTGCCTGTGAGTAAACCTGTTATAATAAAATTGCTAAGTTGACAACTACATTTTTAAAATTATGCTTTTATCCACTTGAATGATGCGATGGCAACCACAGGACAAAGGTGCCAGTGCACTCACCACACACCAGCTATAGGGGGAGTGGAGAGACAGTGATAGAGCCAATTCAGTGGATGGGGATGATTGGGAGGCCAGAATTGAAGGGTTGATGAAGGGAATTTGGCCAGGACAGAGTTTGGCCTACACCCTACTCTTTAGGAGAAATGCCATAGAACCAGGACCTCAGTTTAGAGTCTCATCCAAAAGACATTACTGTTCTGAAATATACTCAGAAGGTTCAATTTGAAATATTTTTTCTTAATTTTATTGTTGTCATGATTACCAGCAATCTAACACTCATAGATTGCTGGAGAATTTTCACTTGAACTTCAATTCTGCCACTATATAAACTATAACTCCCTTCAGGCACCGCACACACACACCCGTGTCTGTTCTCTGTTGATTACAAATACACACAGCTGGAAGTTACTCAAGACTGATTACATGGACCATATAAACAGCACACACGCTCACAGATATTACTGAGCCTGGTTTGGTACATACCCTGTAAAATTACGAAGCTTTTTCCGTGTTTAGTCTCTCCTTTGACTCTCGGCTTGTTTCATTGTTTATCCAGCCTGCCACCTGTATTGACCATATGCCTGTTATCTGACTATGCTTCTAGATTTCCATGTATGTTACTGTTTGTTCACGATTGTGACCATTGACGCCTGACCATTCTCTGTGTAATAAAGTACTGCATGTGGATCCTCAACTCTGTTGTCCAGCATCCTCAAGCTACAATTGTACTTATAATAAATGTCTTTTTTTAGGATTATTTGTATACTTGATCTTATTCATTTTCTAAGCATGGGTTGCAGCTGGACAGGCATCTGCTGTGTAAAACATATGTCAGAGTTGTTGGCGGTTCATTCCACTGTGATGACCCCTAATAAATCAGGAACTAAACTGAAGGAAAATAAATGAATATTTATTTTATTTCAATTTCTTGTGTTTGTGTAATATATTTTTTCAAGTTAATATTATTTGGATTAAAATAATTATGATTTTAATCTGAATTTAAATAAGTAACAAATTGTCAAAGATTAGATTAGATTAATATAATTTTAATGTAAGTTATTCCTGTGATAAGAAATTTCAATCAAACTTTACATAAATTCATTATTAAGCTTAGTCCCTTTATTAATCAGGGGTCACCACAGCCAACTTATCCAGCATATGTTTTACACAGCAGATGCCCTTCCACCTGCAACCCATCACTGGGAAACACCCATACCATTACATACATCACAAATCATAATAATACTTTGATTTGCATTCTTATTATTTTGGCTTATTAAAAGTTTTAATCTGCTGACCTGACCCCAAAAACTTACTGACCCCAAACATATGAACAGTACAGTATGTGCTTCATCTCTTCTCCTGACCTTGTCTGTCTCTGTCTTTGGCCGCGTGTTTGTACTCCGCCTCAGGGGTTCGGGGCCGCTCCACACCGCAGGTCATCTGTAAAGGCTCTGTCTCCTGTTTGTTCAGCTGCTCCAGAACAGCCTGCACTATGGGGACCATCATGGCCGTAGTAGCCGTGTTACTGATCCACATGGAGAGAAAAGCTGTTACCCCCATGAAGCCCAGCATCAGGCTGTATTAACACAGAAGAGGCGATAAGAATGAGAACACAAACAGAACATATCTGAAGTATATTTATATTATTTGCATGTTTAGACAAGGGAAAGTAGAAAGATGATATACAAAAGACAAATTCAACTATTTATCCATCAGATTGAGACAAGGCAAAGAGTATAGTTCTGAAATGCAGAAAAAGGTTATTGAGCTTCACAAAGTAGAAAGTGGCTATTTGAAAATAGGTTAAAAATTCCCAATGCTACTAAAGTATTAGGTCAATAATCAGCTGGAGATGTTTTGAATCTGCTTAAAAGAGGACATGATGTGTCTGTATTGTCTTGATGTACAGTGAGGAGCAAAGACAGAGTGGCAAAACATGTACTGTACAAGGATTAGAGCTGGAGAACTGCTGAAATTAGTTGAATATTGGTGTCAAAAATGCATAAAAAGCATCTTAGTTTGGGATGCTTTTGACAATATATATATCTGCACTCACTTAAATGTAAACTCCAGCGTATGCCTTTGACAAACACTACTAGACCTTCAAACATGACAATTCTATGGTCAGATAAAAGTAAAAAGTGCGTTTAAGCAGCAGCACACACAAAAAGTGCCCCATGTCCGCAGTTAAATATACAGGATCTTTTATGTTGTAGCCTATATTTGTCTGCCGAAGGTCCTTGATATGTTGTTTTGATATTCAGCATCACAGATCTTGTCAACTACCAACAGATTTACAATGAAAACCTGACTGCCTATGCTTGAAGTCTCATCATGGCCATGGTTGGATCACAGAAAATCAACCAAAGACTCACACATCTTCAAAACAATCCAGTAGCTGGGTGACTAAAGAAATCCTAAAAAATGAAGTAACTTAATAAAGTCCACACTCAAAAATGAAAAACGGCAAAGGGGGGTTCAAGTTTATTTTAGCAAAAATACTGCAGCATTATAGCCCCAGCCTTAAGCTGAGTTCCTGTCATTTTTCTGACAAGTGCTTTATCAACCTACACTCTTACAATGGGGGATTCATCAGCTGTTAAAGGAGGGATCAGAAAAGACTTGATGTATGGGACTTTGTCAGAGGTTGACAGACACTTTACAGTAGACAGATCATGGATGAGTCCCTTTCTCCATTTCAGAAGTGTAAGTAACTTAAGTGTGATAAAAATGGTTTCCTCCTTGTTTTCTCTATCTTGCAAATTGTTTTTAATTGTGTTTTGTTACTCGTAACCGCTTCACGTGGCTTGTACTGTATCTGGTTAACTTTTTCTACGCTCATGTTTACAGATTTATTTAAATGCGTTTGTGAGCTCACAGCCCTCTGCTGTTTGTCATTGCTATGGCCAACGTCTGCTGTTCCTACACACGTGTGGCTGTCAAGTTTCAAAATAGTTTAGCTTTTGCCACTGTGTAGATTAATACTGAATGTGTGTCACTGTTTTTACTTATGGTTAGGTACAGAGCAACATGCTGGTGTTAAACTGCATTGCTTTAATGCACTTCTGCATTGGGCTCACACATAATCTCTGAACTCTGACTATTTCAACAATGTTAATAAGCCGTGGTGGGCATTTCTCTCTGTCTCACGCTGAACACAGTCCATCAATCGCAATAGACTGGGTCATCGGACCAATTAGCACAGTTTAGCATCGTGCTAACGAATGGTTTTGGAACAAATTAATACCTGAGCGAATCATATGGGAGTCGTTGGGATAATTAGGTAAAAATAAATATATAAAACAATGAAAGTGTTTTTTGACCTTGCATCCATATCAGCCTGTTGTTGGAGACCCCCAAAACCAAAATATGTTCTTTTTATAGCATAATAGGGGCTCTTTAAAGTCCGCACAAACTGGAAGTTGCTGAAACTTTTATTTATGTTTGTTGATGTATGTACTTCCAAATAAAACGGAATATTAACAGCGGAAGTAATCATACTTAGCTAAACTTAGACTTTTAGATGAAGAAAAAAAAATGTGTGAGTCTGATAACGGCAGCCAGAAGAGAGAACACCGTCAAATTTACTGTCCTGTCAATAGAAATTGCATTAGAAATGCGCCACATAAGCTGTAATACTTTTTTTTTGTAATTTGAAGCGAAGATGATATAACAACTTAAAAATCTAAATGTTAAAAGCTTTCAAGGATATAAGATGCTAATGACCATTAAATTCATCCTATCCCTCTTGTGAAAAGGGTCCATTTTTTTAACATTAACAAAACAAACTATTTTTTCTGTGGATTAACTTAAGAATAAAATGTGAGATAGCAAAATAAATATTGCACATTTTGAGTCACATGATGATGATGATACTTGATTTATGGTTGGGTACCATAACAGCGCTTGTCAAACAGCAAAACAACCGTTAAAACTGACAAAAAAATAATAATCTGTCACTGAACATAGAAGTACGGCTTTTGCAGTCTCCTGACCTGAATCCTATAGAAAAGGATTGGGCAAACTGAAAAAGAAAGAGCTGGAGAGCTTCTGTGTGAAATCACTTTCTGTGTTTTTGAACTAAAAGGTGTCAATAATTTTACGGTGTCAATATGTTTGACTGACATTTATTGTGAAATATATAGAATTATATTAGCCACCTCCCATCCCATCCCTCCTGTAGCATATTCACAGCCTTCTTCTTCAAAGGGTGCCATTCTTTTACAAATAGTGCCAATAATTTTGACCATGAACTTCTTAGCATTCTATCAATGGCTATGCTTGTTTGAGGGTTTGACCTACAGTGCTGGTCGAACTCCAACAATAAGCAGGACTCTCAGGGCAATGCGTTTATGTAGGTTCCAGTGTTCGACTGCCACTGCTACCATTAGTCCACCCACAAACAGCATGTTGGTGTCCTTCAGGTACTGCATACACACCTGGAGAACCACAGCAGAAGTAAACTCTTAGATGTGTGGTATTTTTATTTAATTTGTAATTTGTGCTATTTTTGCTTACCATTTTGGACTGCATGATGCCAAGCATAGGGAAGAGGACAGCAGGCAGCAGTGACGTGACAGCTAAAGGAAGAGCCTCTGTACACCAGTATACTGCCATCAGGATGATTACATAGGCACAGCTGGCCTCCTGGAGGATCAAAACATGTGCATTTTCAAAAAGACATGCTGTAACATTCTAAACACATGTTATAATGAGATATTGCACACATATTGCAATTTTGTTTCATTACATGTATCTCACTGTTGGAATGTAAACAAGATTTTTATATATAAATATTTATTATAAATAAGATTTTTATTATTAATTTTTAATTTCATTTTAGGATGAATTATATATATTTTGTCAAGTAAGTTTTATTGAAGACACAGATTTTGAAAGAAGAGGATTCTCTGTTTTACATAATTTGTCCACATATAACATATAGGCAAAGCAAAGAAAATAAAAAGAAAAGGAAAAACAATACAAAAATCATAACAATAAATAAAAAAATCACCCCCATAACAAGCCAACTTGTTTACACAGCCCTGTTTGATTATGATGACAGCATATTAAAACATTACAGATTTTTTCAAGGTAACAAATGAAAGGATGCCAAATTTGGTCAAATTGTTTGAGTCTTCTTTTCAAATAATATCTAATTTGCTCCAAATGTAACACAGAGGTAATTTCTCCAAGCCACAGTTTACATGTTAGGGGATGCCTTTTTTTCCAAAACAGTAGCAGCTTTCCTGGCAGCAGTTAAACAGTAGAGTGATTTATATTGTGTATTTTGTTGATTTTAGGTTACATTGCATCTACATGCCAACTAATTATCATTAGATTATAAGTAGGTTGGGGTCAGGATTAGGGTTACTACAAGATGACATGTACTTGCAAAGTTTCTTAAAGTCAGTTAAATGTCTGTTGAAGGAGCAATATTAGCAAATATTAAGCAGAGAGTCTTATACTCAAATGGACTATCAAAATAAAGTGTTACCGAAGATTCTATCCATTTTTTCCTTTGAATATTGTAATGAATTATTTTAAACTTAATAAGACAATGTGTAGAGTTAATAGAGTGTTTAATATCCTCTAAACCTGAATGACACATTTCTTCAGAAATCTCCACTCCCAGTTCTTTCTCCCACTTTTTCTTAAGGAATTTTGTGGAGGGGGAAGTAACAGATCGTCCAATGAAGAGTTTAGTTAGTTCCTAATCTGTAAAAATCTGAAAATGATTCTGAGGGAATTAAAATTTCTGTTGTAATTGGATAAACGAAGCCAGATTTTCATCAGCGAAAAGGTCCTTTAAAGTATGTGTACCCATTTTCTTCCATTGCGAAAAAGTCCTATCTAATGTTGATAGAATAAATTATGGAGTGATGGGAGTTAATTATAATAAATTTCAGATTTTGATGTCATTCTTTAGCTTTATATCCAGCTGATTTGAGAATTATCTAAAAAAACATTGTCTCTACAAATACACTGATTAATAACCTACAACTAGTTGATTTTTTATGACACTATATATATATATATATATATATATATATATATATATATATATATATATATATATATATATATATATATATATTTATTATGTAAAATGTAAAACCCAACAGTGAACTATATCAAATGAAATGAGTGTAGTTAGCTCAGAATTTACTGAAAGTTAATTAAACTTATTTGAAAAGAGTTTTGAACTCTGTGTTGAAGGTAATGAGTTAGTGAAATACTTCATCACTTCAACTTTAATGTAGTAAGTTTACAGTACTCATAGATCCATTTTTTTTAACTCAAATAGTTTGTTGCAATCGGTCCCTTTGTGTTGCCTTAAGATATTGAATTTTACAGTACAGTTGGTTTGAGTTCTCTTCATTTATTGTTTTTAACTTTGCTCAAATTGCTTCATTTACTCAGATGGATTTTTAGTTTTTGAATATAATAGTTTGTTGCAATTGGTTTCCTCAAACAGTTTGAGTTACCTTAACTTTTTGGGATTTACATACAGTATTCATATACGTTTGGCCCTTATATCTCTAATATGTATTACACATATTTTATAGAAATGCTTCACATGCCAATAGAGAGAATGACAAATAAGGACTTTCATTTCAATTCAAATTTTCAGAGGTTGACATCTGTGAATCTACATCATTGTAAGCAGTTGATATGTGCACTGTTGGGTCTGAAATATGTACACGAGGATCATGATGACCACAACACATCGACTCTAGGTCAGGAATTTAGACTTACTGTGTGTTCCCACGCCTGAACATACACAAAGACAAAGGGTTAAAATAACTATTTTGAGGCACAATGAATTATTGTACATGGAGGCCTCAGGCTACCAATGCAGTCCACATGTTTTAAACACAGAATACAATTTTTTAATACGCATTCATCAGGTGCATAAACACTGACAACCTCAGAAAAAAAGCATGCACAATCTACACAATAGTTGTAATTATACAATTGTAAGCACTCAGCGTGGAGTTAAAAAGTGGTCAAAATTGTTCTGTTCAATAAAAAGTTTGATTTTACATACCCTTGTGCTGATGACCAGCGGGAGTGGGAGAAGAATCAAAGGAGTGAAGAAAAGAACTATCCCATTCTTCAGGTTCCATATCGATTTTATTAAGGGTAACATCTCAAAATAAAGAGAGTTTGTGCATGTATAATAAGTTTAAGAGAGTTGGACACGTCCTTTTAACCTGCTCTCTGGGGTGGAGTGAGTGAGTAAGAGAGACAGGGAGAGAGAGAAACGGGGAGAGAGAGTGAGTGAGAGAGTGAGTGAGTGAGTGAGTGAGTGAGTGAGTGAGTGAGTGAGAGAGAATTAATAGAGAAAAAGCAATTATTATTACAGACTCCTGCTCACACTTGTTCTTTTCTTTAGAACTTGATGAGCAGCTGCTGTTTCTGGTCTGTTAACAGTTAGCAGAAGAGTGATGCATTTTAAAGAGATGGCTTATCCAAAATGAAAATTCTGTCATATTTGTACTCACCATCCACTTGTTTCAAGCTCCTGATAAACACAAAAGACACCATTTGGCAGAACGTTGCTGGCCAAACCATTTCTGGGCCCCACTGATTTCAGTAGTATTTCCTCCATATTATGGAAGTGGACCATTACATTTATTCGGTCAATCCAGAAACATTTTGTTCAGGTTTTCCTTAGGTACTGTGAAATAAATGTCTAGCAAAATAAATTGCAAAACATAAAGCTGCATAACTAATGTTGATGTGGTTAATGGTGTATAGTGAAAAAAGTACCATTACTAGCCTAATAATATAGTGCAAGTAGAGTAAAAGTATATGTTATAAATATTACAAGTAAACCCTTCAAAAGTACTCCAGAGTAGTGAGTTGTAAAAAGCTGATGCGTTTACATTTGTGGATGTATGCATGTAAACGTAACATTCTGTAGAGCATTTTGTTATTGCTCAGCAGGCACACAACATCATAAGACGTTAATATTAGGTCAGATTGAGGTTGTGGGGTCAGGTGACCAAAATTCAATGTCAGTGTAACGGAAGACAGCTAGTAAGTGCTGTGCAGGTAAACCTCACTCCTCTGACCTCTTAAGGTGCTCTAGTGACAGTCACTAGAGGTCATAGTCTTTAGCCTCCTTGGTAGAGCAACTGACTCCCATGTGGGAGATCGCCGGTTCGATACCAGCTTGAAGTGGGATGGGTGGCGTAGGACTGGCGGAGTTACATCAGCATATAAGAACAATGTGATTTTGATGTCTAAAAACGATATCATATGACATTGATATTTGGTTGAATCCAATGTCGATCCAACATCTTAAACCAACGTCATCTTGACATCAAATACTGACATTTATTCATCAGGTATGGCAACCAAAACCCAACATCTGATAAACGTGATAGTGGTAACGTCCACACAACATCGGTAATATTTGGTTGATTTTAGGTTGGATGCTGGAAATTTATGCCAGCCTGACGTTAAGTTCTGATAACCTGATTTTCATCTCCAAACAAAATGCAACATCTCCACAACGTTGAGGTACAATGTCAATCTGACGTCAGGTACAGTAAACATCCTTCATCTTCTCATCAATGACATGCATCTAAACAGTTTCTGGGTCATTGCATGTAACGATTTTGGACATCTTTTTGGACACTTTTAATGCTTCCAAACAGTTTGCTGCAATAATAAATCACCCTTGTCTTGAAGTAGTTCATTATAATAAGATTTACCTTCTATTCGTGATTTGATTGGACAGGAATCGCCGGACTGTTTTTTTTTAAATTTTAAATTTTTTGGGAGAACCGATATCTGGCAGATTTTAGCCCAACTCAAATTAAACAACTGAACAACCCAATCAAGGTCTTGGGTATATTCAGTTGAAGTCAGAATTATCATATCGAAAAATAAAATAGCTTAAAGGGGCTAAAGTCGAATTCCAGTCAAATTAAAACAAATAAGACTTTCTCCAGAAGAAAAACTAGATCAGACATACTGTGAAAATTTCATTGCTCTGTTAAACATAATTTGGAAAATATTTAAAAAAGAAAAAAATCAAAGGGGGGCTATTAATTCTGACTTCAACTGTTTAATGTAGAGTCAAGTTGAAGCTAAACTGCAGTTTCAAAGCCCCCTTAGTCTAGGACCATTTATAGTGCTCTCTGCTGTAGAACGTCAGAACTGCTCACTGACTGCTTGATCTGCAACAGAATGAGTAGCAGGACGCCCTCTGGTGGAGTTCTGTAGGCAACAAGTCTAGCATAAAATCAACATATACTGTGCCAAACTGCAAAATGGATACAACTAAAAATACTTCACTGTGCTATTGGCTGTGTGGATGCCAACAGCCCTAACTATCTTCAGCGATTCTCCTGCATTTAGGTCCTCACCTCTACAGCTCTTACTTTAGATTAGTAAAACACCCCAAACGTGTCAGGCTAGAGGGCGCCCGCGAGCATTAATGCAAGATAAGGTTTTGCATTTTTCAGATTCAAATAATGAAAAATTATTTATTTAAAGTTGTTTACTTTAAGAGGAGATAGCACTGCACATTCGAAAGACTGAATGGAAATATTTTCCACAAAAAAGCCAATTCGTAACAAATGTGACATTTGCTAAAAGTGTTTCGTGTGATTTTTGCTAAAAAAAAAAAAAAAAACGTCGGTCGTGTTCTTCACATTTCACTAATTAACTATTTTTTTCACTGACTTCACCGAGCATATAATTGTTTTATAATTTTGGTGACACACATATATTCTAGCGCATACTTGCATGAAACGCTATAGTTTCACCAAAACCAGTAAGAATATTGTGCCGTCTCTTGAAATTGTGACAATAACACACAAATTATGTTTTGAATCTCATATTGAAATATTTATTGTTTATTTGCTTTATTTATTTAATTTCCTGTAATGTGAGGTGACTTGTATTATGACACAGTTGAGAATCACACGGTTTGCGAGCGCACGCACACCGAGATGAGAGTCACGTGAGGCTCTGAACTCAACACCATGGCTTCTCAAGACAACAAAATATTCTCGACTTCTTAGGAAATTATTGTGCTGTTATGGTAGTTCATAAAGCACTGGAAATACATTTGATACATGCCGCGAACCTGGAACTGGGCACCGCGATGGCAGCTGTTCCAGTGATCAGTTGCTGACAAGCAGCAAACAGTGCAGAGGTGAGCAGCAACAACAACAGCTAGATGGACTGATTTCCTCTTATCCCAGTGTTTGCTTAACGGTAGTATATATCTAACGTTACTTACATTAACCTGACAGGCTGTGGTTTAATGCGTAGAGTAGCGCTCTGTTGTGTTTGTAAGTTAACAGTCGAGAACTGGCAGAAGTGCACTATTTCCTTATTCTCTGGTCAGAGGTTGAGAGGAACTAAAATGTTGCAGAAATTAGCGACACATTTTATCGCTCGTTATTTCTAGAAGCTTGTGTTTTGTATGCTTATGTTCTGGATATAACTAAGTACGTGATTTTGCTGTGTGGCGGAGATCAGTCACGGGGTAATGCATGACATTTTGTGTGATGACATCAGTGTCCTCGACAAATCATTAGTTGTTGCTAGACTGGAGATGATTTGATCTGTATGCTTCTCCTGTGTGTACAAATGGGCACACAACAACCATATTTTTAAGACAATGCATATTCTGCATTGTGTGTGTGTGTGTGTGTGTGTGTGTGTGCGCGCGCAGTTGAAGTCAAAATTATTAGTCCCCCTTTGACTTTTTTTCCTTTTTTTAAATATTTGCCATATTGAGCAAGGAAATTTTCACAGTATGTCATATTTGTTCTTATGGAGAAAGTCTTATTTTTATTTTGGCTAGAATAAAAGCTGTTGTTTTTTTCAATAGTCTGCAGAACAAACCATCATTATACAGTAACTTGCCTAATTACCCTAACCTGCCTACTAGTTAACCTAATTAACCTAGTTATGCCTTTAAATGTCACTGCAAGCTGTATAGAAGTGTCTTGAAAAATATCTAGTAAAATATTATTTGCTGTCATCATGGCAAAGAGAAAAGAAATAGTTTATTAGAAATTAGTGAATAATAGAACATAATAAAACTATTATGCTTAGAAATAAGTTGAAAAAAATTCTCTCAATTAAACAGAAATTAGGTGAAAAAATAAACAGGGGGGCTAATAATTCAGGATGTTTAATAATTCTGACTTTAACTGTATGTATAAATAGTATTGTTTTTATAGACATTAAAAATTATTTGCCACAAGCCTTTTTTTAAAGTGAACAACAAATGAAGACAATTGTAGACAGTCATAAAAGCAACTACAGTACCACAGAATGTAAATACAATGGGATTTTTTAGTTAGTCCTAGGTAAATAGAGACTATGTTGTCAATTAAATAGCAGCAAAAAATGTTTTTTTCTCCTCTTATTTTTTCCCATGTACAGATGTCGTTGTTTACACATGGATAATCTTTTTAAACCCACTTCAACAAACCCTAAATACTCTACCTAGTATATCGACAGTAATAATAATAAAATATTATTAAAAGAATAATAATAATAGAAAAAAACAGCAAAATTATATAAAATAAGAGTAGGGAAATAAAAATAACATAAAAATAGATAATAAAATAAAATAAAATGATAAATAGACAACCATAATGGGTGATACAATCAGGCATAGTGCTGTGCCATCCTACAATGGTAAGCTAACATAGACTAAGCATTGCAGTCTGGACAGAGAAAGAAAAAAAAAAACGGGAAATTACAGTTACATTCAAGATAAGTCACATTAGTTCCCAGGAAGTACATTAATAACTGAGAATTATGATAGTAAATGTTGCCAAACATATAAGAATTCGCTAGAACCTCTAATTGAATATTTAATTTTTTACAAGTGTAGATATAACATCAGATCTTGAGGCCAGTGGGATGCTTTAGTTGGATTTAGAGATTTCCATTGCAACAAAATTCCTCTCTGAGTCAGTAAAACTAATGCAAATAAAGTTTTTATGTAAAACCCTAAAATGTTAAATTATATGAATTAGATTAAATTATATATAATAACATATATATATATATATATATAGTGTAATATATATTTAGTATAATTAGTATACTTATTAGATATTAGTATTCAGCTTAAAGTGCAATTTGAAGGCTTAACTAGGTTAATTAGACAAATAAGTGTAATTAGTCAATTCATTGTATAACTATGGTTTGTTTTGTAGACAGCTGAAAAAAATATTGCTTAAGGGGCTAATAATATTGGCCTTGAGTTGGATTTAAAAAAAAATGTAAAACTGCTTTTGTTGTAGCCAAAATAAAATAAATAAGACTTTTTTTCAGAAGAA